GGATGGTGGTGTGCTGTTCTCTACCCCAGTACAAAAAACACGCCGAAGAAACTTAACCACTCATTCATACTACTGGAAGAGGATCCGCGTTTGCAAAGCGGTTGCGAACGCGGTCGTATAAAGATCCAGTACAATTGCAAGCGCACTTGATGTCCTACAGGTTTTACTTGAGCTAGTTGGTACTTTCTTTTCTTTTCTTTTCTAATTTGTTATTGTTCAGCTGACCATATTCACTTGATGTCATCGAGTACGCGTGCAATTGTACTAGATCTTGATACAACCGAGTTCGCAACCGCTTTGCGAACGCGGATCCGCTTCCAGTATGAATGAGCGGCAAGACAGTGAAGCATCTGCGTTGCTTTGCTTTCGTTTGTTTTATTTCTGAGGCGCGTTCGCTTCGACTTTGAGCGCTTCTGCCGGTTTCACGGCTTCCGTGATAAAGCATCTGCGTTGCTGTGCTTTTCTTTGTGTTTTATTTCCGAGGCGCGTCCGCTTTGACTCTTGGTGACGTATTTTTATGGCCATCTTTCGGGCACAACGCCGACGCCGCCATTTTGCGTAATGGGACATATAAGGCTGTCGCCTTAAAAGCTGGATTATGAAAATAGAGTATCCAACGCTTTACCCCACTACAACGTCTACCTCAGCGAATAGGGTGAATTTTTTTTTTATTGTGACTAGGACAAAATCAAACTGAGAAAGGAATGTTTCTTCGAACTGAAAATAGGAGAGCGAAATTCGCCTCTCACGTTTGTATTAAACACTTCAGTGAAAGCGACTCCGTGTATTTTGCCGGTTCCAATGTGTTTTGTGAGTGCGGGTCTCTCATTACTTCCAAGAGGATTTATTTTTGAATTTTGTAAACCACTAAACAAACATTTCCTCCAAAAGAACTGGCAGGAAGAAGCGGTGGACCTGGCCTCCGGAGTCGTTTCAATTAAATTTCTGCTTATTCACCCGCTCGACCCGAAACGTGCGAGAGCTCCTCGCGATCGAAGTCTTAAGATATAGTAAGTCGGTGACACTTAAAGGGATACAACAACAAAATTTCGGCGCTTATTTTTTGGTCCATACGCGTTCAAAAGAGCAGTATCGCATCGTAGGAGCAGTATATAAAAAATAAAACGCAAACTGACGGACGTTCCACTACACTATGCATATTGTGGGTGTCGCGCTGACTTTGATAACGTCCCCATCATTGGATGGATGGGGCGGTAATCAGAGTGCCAGAGAAATTCTAGAAGCTTTCGCCATCAAAAAAGAAGGGGAGGTCGATGTGTGCCAAACATCGGTTCATTTACATTGGAAGGAGATTGCCTTCCTTGACATATGTTGATAACCCATGACTGAGTTGTTTATCGAGGTTTGCGTTTCTTCCCATTAAAACGTATCAGTTGAAAGTCAGCCCTAGTCCTGTGCCCTATTTCTCTATGTCCTCCTCGTTGGCGCGTTGTGCTCTATTTTTCACCTCATATCAATCCAACCGGGAAGAATGGGAACCGGGCACTCAAATAGCGATGGTACGATGGATGAGAATAGTCTTCCTGCGTCGTATCCCCGGTGACGTCACAATGCATTACCAAATCGATGCGTGGCTGCTTTTGTATGTGTTTGGGGTCCCGAAAAGCAAGCATTGGCGTACACACGCTCACTTCCGGCAACATCGCTTTTGTACACGTTTGCGCGTGTCTCGGCGAGTGTTGTGGTGAGCGGACGACGGTACTGATCTCGATTCGCTCGTCGCGGACCGCGGCGGCATGCGTGAGGGCAATCGTGACCTTAATGTGGCTGCCACTCGGAGGCTGTTGACTCTTGTTAAACGGGAAGTTGTAACGTGATTCTTTAGCCCCCCTCTCCCACTTTTTTCTTTTCCAGACGGGGAGTGGTCACGTGGCAGACAGTAGTTCAAATGCGCATGCACAAAACGACAGACACCAGTAGCGAGCAAGGCGCAAACGCGGCGACGCAAACCGCCGCGCTTTCCTCGCAAAAAACAAAAACGCTTTGCATTTTTGTTTTGTTTAATAGGACGAACAAGTTTTTGAAGTTTTATTCTTAGTTGCAAGTGTTACGGGCGACACACACGCGCACGAAAAAGAAACAGTTATCGAATATCTACCAGAGCTAGAAACAAGTTTGAACTCGACATAAACCTGAGACCAGAAAAAAAAATAATAAAAAACCGTGTACCAGCAGACGTCTCAAGCAGCTACAACTACTGCTGTGTTTGAGAGAGGTGCATGGTTGTCCTTTTTGTATTTTATTTGTTTGCAGGTCTCAGGATTATTATAAAGCTATTTGGCCAGCTTGCTCGTGTTTTCTCTTTCATCGTGAAAAGGCTTTAACATCTTTGTTTCTGAGATTCTCTAAAAAAGTGCAGGAGTACAACAGCCCCCTTATCAAAATCCCGTCCAGCAACATGGTCGGTCGCCATTTCTTGGGCAGAAAGCGTGCGATTGGATCCGAGTGCTCGCCGAGCAATGACGCAGCACTCGTTTCCAATACGAACCGAGCCAAGTTCACGCCGAGCGGTGTCGCAGAGCTCGTCTCCAATGCACGCCGAGTGTACTAAGGCAAGAGTGTTTACATGTTGTACTTCGACGATAACAAATCCGGGAAATAGGTCATGTCTTTTGTCGGGCTTTGGACCTGAAGTTTAGGTTTCTCGAATGCGGTGATTGGTTGGCGACGTTTGAGGTTTACTAAATAAACTTTCAGCTGAGTTTGAGACGACGCCTTCCGTCTTTCTGTTCCTGCCCCTTCCACTTTGGTTCTTCTAGTTCTCCACCCAGTCTCAACTGGTTCAAGAAAATGGTAAATCTACGCCAGCTCGCCTGCGCCATCACAGTCTTACCGTTGCAACTCAAGACGGTAGGGCGAGGGCAAGAAAGGCTGGGGAGGAGGAAGCAGACGAAACGCTAGAGATGAGGAGGTTTCCCCCTCTCCACTCCATCGTTCCGTTTGCTTCCTCCTCCCCGGTCTGCCTTTCCCTCGCCCTACCTTCTTCACTAGCAACGCGCATTTTTGAAAAGTGTGTATTGTTCGGACGTCACGGAAATGGAGAACTAAAGCAACTGTGCGCGCTCCGCTCACGAAGCAGGGATTATATGCGAAAGCATGAACTGTCTTATGGAGCGAAGCTAGGGTTGTCTTGTAACTGTCCGTAGCAGCAAAGCTAGCGTTGTCTTGTAACTGTCCGTAGCAACGAAACGGTAGTTACGTTCCCATTGACCAAAAGCACAGCAACGCAGATGCTTCGCCCCGGAAGCATCTGCGAAGGTCAAAGCGGACGTGCCTCCGAAATAAAACACAAAGAAAAGCACAGCAACGCGGATGCTTCGCCCCGGAAGCATCTGCGAAGGTCAAAGCGGACGTGCCTCCGAAATAAAACACAAAGAAAAGCACAGCAAGGCAGATGCTTCGCCCCGGAAGCATCTGCGAAGGTCAAAGCGGACGTGCCTCCGAAATAAAACACAAAGAAAAGCACAGCAACGCGGATGCTTCGCCCCGGAAGCATCTGCGAAGGTCAAAGCGGACGTGCCTCCGAAATAAAACACAAAGAAAAGCACAGCAACGCAGATGCTTCGCCCCGGAAGCATCTGCGAAGGTCAAAGCGGACGTGCCTCCGAAATAAAACACAAAGAAAAGCACAGCAACGCAGATGCTTCGCCCCGGAAGCATCTGCGAAGGTCAAAGCGGACGTGCCTCCGAAATAAAACACAAAGAAAAGCACAGCAAGGCAGATGCTTCGCCCCGGAAGCATCTGCGAAAGTCAAAGCGGACGTGCCTCCGAAATAAAACACAAAGAAAAGCACAGCAACGCAGATGCATCGTCGCGGAAGCCGTGGAGCCGGCGGGGTTCGCCGCGCCTGTGCAGTCGGGGAGCGTGACGTCACTACCGGAGCGCCGTGTGCAAAAGGAAGACGTGGCGCGCTGCTTGTAGGAATGCTTTCGTATTCCTTCATGTATTTTTACACTGGTCCGTCATTCTTATGTTCAAGTATTGCGGGGAAAGCGACCATTGTTCTTGCAGGAAACGCGGCAACGAGGGGCGGTGCGCCGGCACACTTCCCGATAACGAGGCCTTACTTTCTGACGTCATCTAGAAGAGGCCGTCGAACCGGGACAGAGATTGGGCAGGAGATTAGATAAGTCCCTCGCGGACTTTCTCAAGTAGTTGTCTGAGCACGAGCAGCTGAAGTACAATATGTCTCCCACAATATTTACAGGGTTTTTTTCACCGAAAAATAAACTATGCATTGCCGGAATGCTCATTCTCCGCCCCAATTGTAGCCCTTGAGGCCCGAACCAGATGCCAAAGTTTCAGCATTAACTGTTATCTTATTCAAAATTTATAAGTACTTTTCTGAAATTTTCGATGGAAAAATGGCGGCCGAGAGAGAGCTCTCGAATACACAGAGCTCTATGGCGTCAGTTACCAAAGGTTTTACGAAAATAAGCCCCATTTTCCCATTGAAAATTTTAGAAAATCACTTATAACTTTTGAATAAGGCAATGGTTAGTGTTGAAACTTTGGCATTGGGTTCGGACCTCTAGCGCTACATTTCAGATGAGAATGAGCGTTCAGCCATGCAGCCTATTTGTACAAAAAAAAAAAAAAAAAAAAAGTGTAAATTATTTTGGTGGACAGCCTGTACTTACTATGTAGAGATTTTCATTGTTCGAACTTATAAAAAGTTGCTCTCTATCTGAAGCTCGCACTACAAGAAATGAGCAGCGCAACTAACAAGACTGTCTCCTTTTTTTTCGTCTTATTTCATTACTTCGAGGTTCGTGGCGCGATTTTAATTTAATCTCCAACGATTCCAACATAGCTGATTATCCGGCGGCAAAGCGAGATTCATGTTTTGTTAGTTTTTGTTACAGAAACATGGGTCACCCGACTCACAACAGTCAGTTTTCGCAGCTAAAGTTGATTAACGCTTTCGATAGAAGCAATGGTTCAATCTCTCGTTCATGCAGTCAATCGTCCATTGCAGAGCCCTCCTGATGTCGTGGCCAACGGAAGGCGATGAGCCTCTATCTAAGGTACAGCCGACAGCTGCTCCTCTGGATCACGACATGCGCAGCCATCTACGTTCTCCTGGCATGCTACTTCCACTTCTCAAGACACAACGCGGGCATCGGGAATTTCGGTACCTTTGTCGCCACTCGATTCATCCTCAAAGACAATGCAACGCTAGCGTCACGCGCTACCCCCGCGATGGCCAGCCACCCACCAGGATTGCACGAGGACGTCAACCCATACCCTTTCGGCTACGTCCTCAACAAACCAGACCTCTGCGCTACAGGATCCAAGATCCTGGTCCTCATCGCGGTCATGACGGCCTCCGGAAACTTCAACCAGCGCCGTGCCATCAGGGACACCTGGGGCAAGGAATCGCTGCACCGTGGCTTCAAGCTCGTGTTCCTCCTCGGCCTGCCCAGGTACGACGTCCTCCAGCGCAGCATCCTAGCCGAAGACAGCCTCCACGCGGACATCGTCCAAGGAAACTTCACAGACTGCTACCGGAACCTCACTTTCAAGTCGGTGATGATGGTCCGCTGGGCCAGTGCCTCCTGTCCTGGTGCGGAGTTTGTACTCAAGATCGACGACGACGTGCTCCTCAACGTCTGGGACTTTGCGCCTACCCTGAGCGCACTGCACGGGGTAGACCGCACCATCTGGGGGCTGCTGGCACAGCGCTGGACGCCAGAGCGGAACCCCCGGAGCAAGTGGTACGTGTCCTGGGGAATGTACCAGAACGCGACGTACCCGGACTTCTTGACGGGTCCTTCGTACCTCCTGTCCGGTGACAGCGTGCCGTTGCTGGCTCGCGCGAGCGACAGCGTGCCTTACCTGTACCTTGAGGACGTCTTCCTCACCGGACTCGTGGCAGAGAAGGCCGGCATTCGTAGGGTGCACAACGACGGGTTCCTCAACTACCGGAAGTTCTTTACGCCCTGCACAACGCCTCGAGTGATAGCCAGTCACGGGTACACTCCACTGTACCTCCGGCACGTCTGGGCTTCCACAAAGACCAAAGCTGCGACGCGGCGTTGCCAGAAGCGGAATTCCCTGGAGACAACGACAACGACAACCGAGTTTCGAGGAATGACCACGTCCTAACGACGCTTGCGGGACGTTAGCATTTTATGTCTCACAAATTGACGCTTGAGGGACGTCAGCATTTTGTATCTCCAGGTTGAGTTGCTTTCGGGTTCCAAGAAGTGAACTCCCGAGAACCGAGGCGCTTTCCACGCTTGCATTTCGTCGTCTGGAAACCGGATGTCTTCGGCTTCTAGACGCATGGCGTGTTTTGTGCAAACGTGAAAACAGCAAACTCTGATGTGCTTGTGCGGGTCGCATGCCACACATATAAAGCTTCTGCGCGTGTGCAGCTACATGCTTAACTTCGCTCCTCGACCCAGAAAAAGGATAGCCACGGAAAGGGTGACACTGAAAAGGGGCAGAGACAGAATTTCAAGAGACAAGGTGGCAAGGGGCAGGACGGCAATGGACAGAATGAGAAGAGACAGAATGGCAAGGGGAATCCCGGAGAAAAGCTCACCAGTCTTTCAACAGACCCGGAAAAAATCTCACCTCGAATTAAATCATTATGTAAAGTGGACAATACCATTTTATAGCAGTAGTGCAATGAAAGCAATTGACACCTCTCAAGCAGGCGGTACACTGTACGACACAGCACGAACACGAGCTGGGCGTTTTTTTTTTTTTTTGCATTTTACTCGCAGTAAGAGCTAAAATTACTCGCAGAAGAGCTAAAAATTGAAAGCGTAGCTTCTTAAATAAATAGTGAAATGTGAAGATTTGGCATTCCGAACTACATGAAAGGTTATTCAATATGCTGGGTGTTTCAGTGGTGACTTCAAAAAATCCCTAAAAATTAGGTGGTTGAGCAAAAGAAAGCTCTTTCAGGGAACAAACTGCCAGCCACAACAAATGTCAAGAATCGAGAGAAAAAAAAATACTAATTAGCTAAATAATTAACTTTTTAATTAGTGAAAATAAACATATGGTCCCAACAAGAAACTCTTTAAGAATTATTGAAAACCACTTAATCAATTCATTTTAGAAAAATATAAAACAGGGGCAGCTTTTTATAACGTCTCTAAAAAACGCTCAAGTCGAACGCGTCCGCATTTAGCATTTTTTTTTAAATGTCGTAAAACGCTTTATTCGGATGCGTCCGAATTTAGTTCATTCTTGAAACGCCGTAAAATGCTGACCCGGCCTTATATATTTCTAAAATGAGTTTATTTAGTGGCTTTCGATGATGCTTAGAAAGTTTATCATTAGAACTTTGTTCATTTTCACTAAAAAAAATGAATGATTAAATTTTAGTAAATTATTTATCTAATTAATATATTTGTTTCTGTAATTTTTGATATTCACCGTGGCTTGCAATTTGTTCCAAGAAAGATTTTTTCCTTTCTTGAAAGCCTTCGTAGAAACACCCTGTATAAATATCCAGAAACTATGCAAGCTGCGGACTTTTACACTTGCTTTATTTCCCCCAGTTATTTTGAAATTAGCGCTCTATTAAAATTCTTTATTTATTTTTGTTGTGCAACGCCTACATGTTGCAGAACAACTTTACATTAAAAAAAAAAAAAAAAAAAAGATTCTGCTAGCGGAGTGCAGAATGAACGTTTGCACATAAGGCATCCCAGTATACTTTCCAGTTGACTGAACATACACTTCACTTTAATGGACGCTCGATTCGATTCGTAAGTGAGGTTTTCTCCACATCCATCAAAAGACCGGTGAGCTTTTTTTCTGCATCCGACGGTTTTGTGGTGAGCTTTCCTCCGCCGATCTAGCAAGGCACAGGATGGCCAGGAATATGTGGTAGTGATGGACAAGTGACATGTAAGAGTGCTACCTGTATACATACTTCATTTCGCCAAACCAAGCAAACCTTGAGTTAGATTTGTTATACAGTAAAACCTCGTTATAACAAAACGGGATATAACAAACTAATGGATATAACAAAGCAATCATAATTCCCCTTGCTTGCTAATAGTGGGAAGAAATGGACATTGGCTATAACAAACTAATGGTTATAACGAAATAATTACGACCGCTCCTTCAACTTTGTTATAACGAGGTTTTACTGTATAAACGTTTATACAGCTGGGAGGTCAGTTCGCCACAAAATGTGCTCTGCCCCAGAAGAGCGATTCAGCTGAGCGGAATGACCGCTAACCTTACGTTCAATGTGCATCACATGTTAGTGATTCCATGAAAAATATTTAGAGGAGTAAACATGATGCTCATAGTTAAGACACCAAGCTTACGCAGATGTGCATGTTCTGTTCAGTTATAATTTTTAAGGGAAGCATTAAAAAAAAAAACAAGTGAAATCGGATGAACAGATTGCTCACCATTGTGAGAAATTTTCTTTCAACCGCGCTCAGATATAAATGCAAATAAGTCGGTTATTTAAAAAGACATAGTGCTTTGGTTTTATTGCAGGTCTGAGGCACAATTACAGCAGCCCACGTGGAAGAAAGCAACTTGAAGTAAAAGGCTACAAGTATACATAACTTGAAAAATGATAAATGGCTAAACATAGCAGCCTGCCATCTCTTGTTCAACCTTGTTACCATTTCTGGACATGGTTATGAGCAGAAACTCGATTCACAACCCAAAAACCTGCACTTGTAGCTGCAACATATATAAAAGTGAACCTTACTTAACGAAGAAATATATAATAAAAGTTTGAATGTTTGTGCACCATAAACAAATAAAACAAATGCAGTTAGTCCCATATTACTACTAGAGGTAGTATTCTTTTTCGATGCATTAATGTGTGTTGCACGGAAAACCTAAGTGCAGGAAACAATCCTGCACCCATGAGCGGATAATATATGCATATGCTTTTTATACGACGTACGAGAACCCTTGTTTGAAATGTTGCACATACGGGTTTAACAAGATTAGGACTCACTGCAGTGGCTAGTGAAGTCACACTTTTTGGGCCATACTATATGGTCAAGGCACACAAGTGCAAAGACAAATATATGATACGCACACCCACCTCTACCTGGATGGTCAACGATATGTCTCGACATCTTATCGTTTCAAATTATCAAAACGTGCAAGGACTACATTACACACCACTGTCTATCAAACATACTAGCACAATATGTCATAGAAATATGTTAAGTACATTTGTTCCCAAGCCCAGATGATCAACAGCTTTAGCACACAATGTATTTGTTCAGTCACAACAGCCCCACTCAGTATAACAAAATACCATCGTAACAAGTGCTTAGAAAACAACTGCTGAACTCTGTATGAAGCTCTCTACAAAAAACAACAATGGTCGGATTCCAACAACGCACCGACATAATAAAAACACTTTGTGAGCCGGTCAAGTCTATTTAGTTTGGTCTCACCACAAATTGTAGCCGCTGTGCGCAAGTCATCTTGTCTGTCATGTAAACTTGAGAAAGATGTCGGGGCTGGTTTTTTCATCTTGTGGCTGCAGCCAAGAGGGATTTTTATGTCACGTGATAAATCAGCTCCATGGGGACATGGAAATACTTAGCGTCCCTGCCTAATGGCAGAGAGATCCGTGTCGATTCGAGCACAAAAGTTAGATTTCACTCGCAGAAACTGATCGCAGAAGGCTTTCGATTCGAGTCAAATTAACCGCAGGCTTATACTTTAGGAGTGGCAGGTAAAGTTACGGCCAGGGAAGGTCAATACGAGCCAAAATAAAAAAGAAACCACGCGAGATAAAAGCGGTGGCATTATATTTGCATGTCTGCACCAGCGACCGCAATTTCCACCCTATACTCTACTCAAGAGGTAAGAGAGCCGGGACTTGTCGGCGTGTCGTGAAAGTTCCAAGTGCGAATCACGCCGCAGAACAACTTTTTTGTGCGTGGAGGTTTTTAATTTTTGAATTGACCCAGCTGCAGTGTGTATTAGCACGAAGTGGGTGTTGCTGCTATTGAAAAGAGTCGCAGCAAGTGTGTTGCATGTTTAAAAACAGATAAAATTGTATTTGAAATCAAGAGCGTGCTGGTAAGAAAATGCAGGGACGGACCGTCTCTGTGCTTTCTGTCCTTCCCATTACTTATATTATCCTTACCAGCATGCTCTTCATTCCAGGTACAATTTCCCCGGCCGTAACTTTACTTGCCGCTCCTTAAGTGTAAGGCTGCAGTTAATTGGACTCTAATAGAAAGCCTCTGAAGTCAGTTTCTGCGAGCGAAATCAAACTTTTGGGCTCGATGAAACAAGTATTTCTCCGCCATTAGGCAGGGATGCTAAGTACTTCCATGTCCCCATGGAACTGGTTCCGTGACATAAAAATCCCTGTTGGCTGCAGCCACGAGATGAACAAATCGGCCCAGGGAAGCTGCGTGGCGCCATACATTGTAACGCGACAGAATAGACTATTTATATTCAGTCCTCCGGAGCTAACTTGTAAAAATACCTGCATATAAGGTCATCCGGTGCCTGAACAAAAACACGGCACCGCTTCGGCGGCCAGGTAACAAATGGGGTCAAGTTCGAGTCGAGAACCTCATAGGAAAAAACAACAACGACAACAATGTCAAAAGCCTTGGAATCAGAGGGCTCGGCTCTTTGGCGAAGCCTGAGCAACTGAATGAGTGACGCTCAGATTATCGGCACTTCAAACCCCGATAGTTTTGTGGGCGCCACCATTTCGGTGCTCAGTGTGGGCTGTTACGAGTTGAAAATACGACTTCCAGAGCTTTAGATATGCTGTCAGAGAGCCGAGGTGATATCGCTCTGCTCCATTTCACACCGTTTTTACATTTCTTGAGGACAAAAAAGTGTTTCCTGCGAATTCGGATGAAACTCTGGACGACCGGCAACAACGGTATCGAGCACCAACATGGCCGAAGTATCCTTACACCGAAGCGTAGCTGGTTCAGCGGCTCAAAGCGGAGCAGCCGTGATTTTCTCTCGACAGAGCTAGCTAAACCTTGTATGAGGGACATGCAGAAATTGTAGGAACCGCAACGTTTCCAAGATTACGGACTTGGTTTCGGTATGACGACGAGCGTCGTCATCTCGACTTGGGAGGCTTCCTTCGGCGCGTTGCCGGCTTCCACCTGATTTCGACGAAGCTGGAGGATCTCGCTCAACTGGTTCTTTTTCGTGGGGTTGTACTGCACAAGAAACGAAAGGAAGATTGGACAGAGTTACCGGAGGGGGGGGAGGGGGCGGGACAGTAAAGACAGGAGAAGAATGTGGTAAATCCCAGGCGTCGACATTATGGTCTCGGAAGAAAAAAAAGAAAGAGATAAACAGAAGAGCAGAGAAAGGAAGTTCGTTTTGCCGCAACGAGTCGAAGTCGCTCGAGCGCTTGTTAACAATATTCGTTTTTATACGATGCACGATTCCGGTGTTATCCTACGAAGTAGGCGAGAAAACCGTTACCGTAACGTCCCGAGAGATGCCCCACCCCTGAAAGATAGCCCAGTCCTATTTTTGGCACGATTTGCTATTTTTAAGATAGTTTACTTCTGGTAATTGCAGGGCCCTGGTCAATGGTGACTTGGCAAAACGGTGTTACTTAATTAAGCGTGGCGGGTGATAAGTGAACATTGCTGGCTGGGAAGGATAGCCGTCTCTGGTACATCGCCCCCTTCCTGCAATTGCAAGTTTTAAGGGTCACAAAATCTAGAACTAACATTTGTTCGACTTCTTTTTTTATGGCACACCCAAAGTGAGCCTTACCCTTATTTTCATCCGATTTGCAATCGATTTTTGGGTGGGCTGTCTCTCAGGATATGAATGCAGGTACAGACATTACAGGTGATGGTTTGCTGCTTCTCTGTGCATATTAAGGCGTCGCCAGCGATGCGGGCCCATCGGGACTGCCAACTGGGGCCACCGAGGTCCGTGTCCATGTCCTGCCGTTCCCAAGCGGCCTCGAATGCACGGGGCCTTCTCTTCTATATTATTACATTAACTCTACGGTTAACACCGGTTTACACATTTGCGTTTGCACACGACCGAGTACTTGCAATCTCTTACGACAAGCGAACGCTCTCGCACGCCGGTGCCGTCTACGAGGCGGCCCTCGAACTGCATTTCACTAGAGCGAAGGTTTCTCGGCATTTGCGCGATCAAGCGCACATACTATCTATGAGACACAGTTGTTTATAACAGTGTCAAAAATTTTTCAAGCCAAAAAAACAAGAAAAAATGATGCGCGAAAAAAAAAAAAACTAGAGAATATATGTGTGCTCTTGTCGTAATAGGTCACGAGATTTTAAAGAACCGCCCGTAATAAGGTGCAAGGGTACGGACCAGCTTTCGCGGTGCTCAAAACGAGTCCTCGTCTGGTGCGTTAACTTATCTTACTTCGCCTGCGCGTCAATGGCAGCCCCGAAGCAGCAATGAGCCGCGTCGCTGGAGCCAGTGCATCGCACCGTCGGACGTCGCGATTCCAACGGTCGGCCCTAGGAACGCCGTCGCGGCGTTCCAACTCTCGTCTGCTTTGGTTTCCGTCTGGCTGTGAAGTGACCCACGACATCTGCCGTCGCCTCTGCCGCCAAAATCGCGGCGGGCAGCAACGCGACGCCTCTTTTCCCGCTTACCGCGTTCTTAAAAGCCGTTTCTTGATTTTCATCATCAAGCAGAAATCGAGAGACCGCTTCTGAGGGCGTGGCAAATGCGCTGGTCGACGACGCGCTCCAGAAACTGCGGACGGCGTCGACAAGAGGTGAGGAGGTGATAGCGGCGCTTCCTGGCAACTCACCCCGCAGAGGTTCTTCTGGACAGTGAGGTGGCTCATAAGGCGTGCCACCTCGGTGGCGGGGAGGGTGCCTTCCAGCCGCTCCTTTGTCAGCAAGAACATGTGCTCGCCCGTGAGATCCTGGCACAGGGACTTGACCCTATGGAGGCCGGGGAAGAATGAGACAGACGTGAACTTTCGTCTGAAGAAAATGAAAGCCAGCAACATTGAGCAGGAGTTTGACCAACTGCAGCAGGAATGGGAAAACCTAGAGCAGATAGTCTTTAAAAATTTGCTGGATTTCATGACTCATTGGTGTCAAGTGGTGATCAATGTTAAAGGGCAAGTCCGGTCAATATTCTAGAATTTGGGATTATGACTGTTTTCAGCTCAATCAATGTCCCTGAATTACAAGGTTTTATTTTCCTTCGATAGTGTCTGTAGTTCTATAAATATCGCAGCTCAAAGCTTGGTTTCGGGCATCTACGGCAAAACCGAAACTACCTGCTAGAAAGGGATGGCAACACTGATCATCAGCTGTTTGGCCGCAACGTGACGTCACCGTGGTGCTGTGATACGCGGCACAATGTGCGGAATCAACCGCAGCACCACAAAGCCGGGACGTCACGAGGGTGCTGCGGTACGCATCGCTTGACTAAAAGCTAAACCGCTTAAATTCAGTTTTAGTGGACCACGTGGCTTCACTTTGACATAATATTTCGGCTGTTATCATATTTCATGCCGGTAAAGCGATACCAGTCATTTATTTTGGTTTCGTTTTCTACTGGAGTTGCCCTCTAAAGGCTTCCCTACGAACTACTGGTCAGCTTATGTTCATATTTAGAGATGAGCGCAAATTTGGTGTCCTCTTTTGTCACAGCAGCCAGATTATCAACAATGTACCGTTACACTGATGGTTCCAGTTATGCAATAAATGTTTATTAAAAAATAATTTTCATTCATATTTTAGCAAACATTGGTTTGTACCATAAAAACATGTTAATATAGCTTTACATAAAACTTTCTATGCATATATTACAGCTCTCAAAGAAGTTAGCTATGTAAAACTGAAATATATCTTCTTTTTTTTTTTTGTTCACTACTGTATAAGAGGTGATCGGTCGGCATACAGAAGTATTCGGAAATCTCCGACAAGTCTTTCGCTCACTGAACCTTTAGCTACGCACCTGGAGACTCTGTGATGAAATATTTCGTGAATGTCGCAAGGAGCGGAGTTATGAAGAGATTGCCTGTCCTCCCATTTGACCGGAGGTTTGCGGGGACATAGAAAGACACCTGCTTGCATCCTTTTCGTAAAATTATACAAGCTCGATCATGCTGAAAAAAACTGGTAAGCGCAGAATGCACTATAGGCCTTCTAGGGAAGAAGAGAAGGGCGTCTCCATGGCACCATCCACCGAAGATTCGCTTTCATTTCTCACAAGCGCCGTGAGATGGCGCCACATGACTGGAGAGGCCAGCTCACTCGCACGCTGCGCGAAAGTTCCGCTTTCCGCTACCACTGATTGGCCAATCGTCTGTCCCGTTTCGGTCTGCCACTTCCGTCCGCTGTTTGTGCCCCTCCCGTGTTGCGTATTCGCATTCTCTGGCAGCGTGCATACGTATAAATACCATGTTGCCGGCCACCCGTCGAAACTGTTTTTGTCGGTAGACCGCTTGTCGCGCGTTTAGCTTTAAGAAACGTTGGTTCACGTGTTTTCCTCTCGTCGTCACTTTGGTGTGTAGAGGCAGAAACAAAAAGGCACGAGAAGTCACTATTTCTGCTGTCGACCGCTTTAAAGACGGGCCCGAGATCACAACTTTGCGATCCGTAACAGAAGCGTGTGTGTGCTCGTCACCTTGGATCCCCTATTCTGACGAAGAGGAAATAAGGTTAGGAAAATCTGACTTACAGTTAAATTTTATTGTATGAATGTTTATAAAGCGGAAGGATGTATCTGATCTCCAACCGAACAGACGCTCAGCCCAAGCCTTGACAAAACTCGTGCGCCTAGTCCATACGTAAAGATATGAAAAAACATACCCGTTAGACAAGACGTCATGGATGCTGGCAACTCGCATCCTAGCGAAAACACGAAAAGGCTGCCAGTCGAAATCGAGCAGAAAACGCGAAACTAGCGAAAGTCTGCCAGCAGTCGCCCGTCACGGCGCTCAGCAAAAGGGCAGCCTACGATGCGCTAGCTCCGAAATGACAGAGGGACACTCACAGAGAGGAGGAAAGAGCAAGAGATTCTCGAAGGAAAAAAGGCTTGGCGCTACTTTCAGCATAAAAGGGCTCTAGCCCTTTTAGCTGTAGCCGTTACGACGGAAATCGGCTAATAAAATCAGCTAAGCACGGCATGGGCACGTACCGGTCGCTGAAGTCCTTGGCTGTGAGCCAGGTCTGCACTTCGGCCACTGACGATTCAGGCGTGATGTAGGTGGTCTGGGCGGCGTTTGCCTTCATCTTGCCCCACTTCTTGTCCGCCTTGTGACCCAGGGTGAGGCGGAGCCTCAGTTCTTCGTCGAAGGAGTTGTCTGTCTTTGCCACGGGCTTTGGCTGTGGATCTTTCGCCCGTTCGGGCTCCTTCTGGACCGGAGTCGGCTTGGGCTGTTTGGTTGGTGTTGGCGGTGCCGGTGGTGTCGATCCTCGCGTCGGAGGATCTGCGGATGTAGACGTGTTCGGGTTCCGCCGATGAAGGTCAAGCACCCCGGGCTTAACCTTACCGAGCATGCGGACGTGTGGGGTGTTACGAATCGAGGGGCTCCATGTAAGAGTCGGAAAGATCAATGCCTGCATGTAACGAGCTCAACCTTTCACCAAAGGTGTATTTTAGTGGCGGATTTTAACATAAGCGAAATCATTTCTGGCCAAACTCGTTCTTGACAGGTGACAATTGAAAAAAAAAGCAGTGAATGAAAGATATATTGTTAAAATATGTGCTGTGTTTTTGGGCCTTAAGAGTATGAAAAGTAAAAAATACTAATTATTCAGTAAAGTACTGAGACAGCTGTGGTGACCAGTTTCCTTTTGAATTTATTACTGAAAGTGATAATGATGTCCAGGATAAATTATTGCATTATTGAATGAAATAGGTGCCTACGCTTGATTTCCAGATTGGTTAATAAAGTGTGAAACGCTCACAATTATTTATTTAATAAAATGTTCAAGTTGACACACAATTCATAAATTTATTGCAACAATAGACATAGAAATAATTTCCATCATTAAATGCTGTATCATTACATCTGTAATTCTACTGTTGAAAAGATCAGTCTTTAACTGCTGATGTGATCGATAAGAGCTGAATCATAATTTCTGCAGCTCTATCGCTGAACAAGCCACAGTGATTGTAATTTTTTGAATTACTGGAAATAATTCAGTGTTTGTGAAGTACCCATTATCAAAACATTCACAACGCTTATGCAGAGTGCGAGTTTGTCTGCTTCTTTTGCTAGGGTTGTGGTGACGCCAGAACGCCGAGCTCCGATTGGTTCTTATTGAAGAATAGTGGGTAAACCTCAAAGGGCAAGCTGCTTTGAGATCTACCCACTATCCTTCAATCAGAACCAACCAGAGCTCGGTGTTCTGATGACACCCGAACGCTTGCAAAAGAAGCAGACAAACTAGCACTCCGCATAGCCATCGCAAGAATTGAAATTAAAAGGAGAGTTGCAGGTCTTACCGGGCGGTGGAAGAGGGGGTGCCGGTGGAATGCCTGAAGAGAAATGATTATTCTTATTATTATTACTACAATTATTATTATTAAAGGAAGAAGTCAGTAAAAAGTGTTTTGGGACACAATGAAAAGCTGGAATCTCAAATTTTGCAAAGTTATCCCCAACTAACTAGGGGGCATTACAGGAATGTACAGTGGAATCTCACTAACTCAAACTAACATGCGTTCCTAGGGAGGAAACTACCGGTAATTCAAACTTTGCAATGTTTAAACAAAGTTTTGGTCCCCCTCAGGTTCGAATTATTGAGATTTTACTGTATAGGTATGCTCACCTGACTTACTTCAAACGAATAGCAAAGCTCTGTTTCTGAAGTTACGGCACTATGACTGATTGCAGGGGAGCGGCGAGATTGTGAACTTGTTTTGGGATGTTCTCATACCCCAATCGGAAGCCTAACAACTGAGGAGACGTTTTTGAGTCGAGGCTATTTCAGATGTCAAGCTGAAGAAGCGTCGCGCCGGGTCACATTTGGGGCGTACGATGAGACGAACGGGAAACAAAAAGATTGTCTGTGGCCCCGTTTTTTTTTAGTTTCTGGAAATTAGGCATTCTCTCAACACACCACACGTGCTGGGTGGAAAATGCAGATAAAAAACAACTAAATTTAATCCACTTTAATGCTTTTTTAAAAAAAAAAAAAAATATGTGAGCAAGCGTGAAATACCTGTTCCATAATTCATGGGTGTAAAGTGTTTCTTCTGAATAATAAATAAACAAACCAAAAAAAAAAGTGATAAAAAATTTGTTTAATTGCTTGTTTGTGTAAATAAACCTTTTGCAGATGGGTGTTTCAGATAAGACGCTTATCGGCTCTTACGTCTCAAAATCTCAATAGGTCAGCATGGGACTTTACGCTACCTGCTGCCTCCCAAACACAAATTGGAAACAAAATATGACATCCAGCCCTACCAATAACAATAACATATATTAACGGCTTCCCAAAACTTTGCTTTGAACCGCTATCTAAAACATTTTTTCTGGTATCTTACTTCTATCTCAAAATGATCTTTCTGTCACAAACAAACTAAAAACCAGAAAAAAGAAAAGAACTCACTTTTTTCCAAGTGGATCCCTTGATCAGCGAAATAATATTCGCCTGAAAGGAACAAGTTTGAGGCAAGGTTACGCACCGACGAAGACCCACGCTCGGAGGTTGAAGAAATGTTATCGGGTCAGTTTGCAGGCTCGGAAACGCATCACCAGGTCAAGGCCAAGACAAAACATGCACGGATGCCGTAGCAAGTGTGCAAAGAAACGTTTCTAGGAGAGGGAAAGGAGGTTAACGTGCGGGTTACGGATTATACGACACAGACAACATTCGAAACGAAACAAAACAAGAAAGTCGAAACTCCACACCACCATAAAGACCCCGAGTCATTGTGACAGCTTAGAAATTATGGGCAATTATAAAACGGCGATAGACCCTTTTGGACGACAAACCCCGCCTTTAGCTGCCGACGGCAATGGATAGTGGAATGAATCGCTCGTCGGCTTCAGCTAAGTGTCATCCTTCCAATTTAGTTATCGCATGACGTCAATAAGCCGATTGATCCCGTCCACCTCCGATCCGGTCAATCTCTCAACTAATCCTGTCCATTTATAGAAAAACAAGAATCTGAATTACTCTATACTTATGTTTAAACTAATATGAAGCAACAGCCAAGAGAAAAAAGCTTTACGAGGTTGCAATTTTGCAATTTCAACGAAAGAGAAAAGGAATCACATTGTTCTTTAGAAGTTACCCAGTTTGAGCATTTCTTTATCGAGAATGCTTCGAAAGCAGGCGGTTGATGCATCCTTTTAAGGGCACAACAGAACCAAGATTGTCCATGCTCCAGCAGACATCAGGTTGTTTGGCAACTAGAGCAATGATTCCAACAACCCTAATGCTCCTCATCATTCGCAGCAGAAAACAAAATGTCATATCATGCCTGATGTTCAGAACAGGTAATACTGCGTGCTCCAAAAGGGTCTATACCGGGTTAATTGAAGGGAGGCTGCAGGGGTCGACTGTTATGCGCAAACTCAAAAGAAACAAAATGTCGCGACACCGACACCCAAGACTTCATGCGATGCCGACGCAACCGGGAAAGGGGTTAGTAAAAGTAACGTCGTCCTGCGGCGACGAGCAGGCGTCGTTGGTCTCCTTACCACAAAGATGGCCGCCCGCTTCCGCACTCTCAATGTAAGCGATGGTTGTCGGTCTATGTCCTGGGCCGAACCAGACGACTAGACTCTACAGCGCACTCTCGTAATCCGACATTTAGGCTTCCTTTCATCTTGCGACGGACTGCGGCGGACACGGCCGATCGTCGGAGCCAATCGGACGTCCCGTGGGCGTCGGGTGACCCGTGAGAGGGGTGCAGTAACGTGCGGAGCGCGTGGTCACGCGATTCGTTCGCGGCGCCAGATTGACTGGGTTGACATGTAGTGTCCGCCGTGATCCGTCGTAAGGTGAAACGGGGTATAGTAGTCACGCTACAGCCACATTCTGTCTCTGAGCAAGTGTGGCAACCAAGCAGAATTCAACCGCGTTGAAACGGCAACCTACACGATGTGACACTGTTAGCGAGAGCTGGTTTTTTTTTCTGCTTTTCTCTTAGAACTGGAAGGTTGTCATCAAAGTACTACTATAATGTGATGGAAGGCACTCATTTGGGGCACTAATACAGGCGGCCAACCCCGCCGCTCGTTGACACTTTTTAGATGCGAAGGAGCGTCCATGTTACGTTCAAGCTAACAGTGTCACGCAGTGTGCAGTCTGTTGTTGTTGGCACCTTGCCTCGATTGAGTAGACGGCAAAAATCAAGTTTTCAAAAGCATCAACGCAAGGCTTTTTGTTTAATGTAATTGGAATGCAGGTTAAAGCATGAAAACATTTGATATTTTGGATTAATCATAAAAGAAGTAACGTAATGACATGATTGTAGGTCGACCCCCCAAATTGCACGTAAACAAGAAAAAAATAACTTTTTAGGGGTGTCTTTTATTGCGAGCACGTCAGAAGGGCAGGGCGTCCCTCTTGAAAGGCCGGCCTCCAGAACGTGCTCGATGCATTCTGGCATGCCTTGGCTGCGCATGCAGCCAAGGCATGCCAGAGCACGAGATGCCCAAGCGTTATCAAAACTGGGAAGCACACGCTAGAGACGGGACAAGTGAAGCTGCTCCATGTCGTCCTCGCTCTGTCCGTGACTAGAGACTATGATTCGTCCGCACTCGTGCTGTCGTTCCCGTCATCGTCACTGTTACGTTCTCAAAGCAAGTCGTCGGCATCGTCAAACTAAATCTTGCACTTTGCAAATGACAACACCCCCCCCAACCGCTTTTACTGTACATACTTTTTTGCAAATTTTATATTATTTGAGTAGAAATCGTACAGCACCATTGAAAGTAGAACCTTGTTAAATTTTTTCCGAAGTTTGAAGGTCCAACTACATGTTAAACAAGAGCTTATGATATCCCAAGTTTTAACCTAAAAAATATAAACCGAAACTACAATTTAAAAAAAAATTATGTTTCTTTAATCTAGCCTAGACTGTATTTGTGTCAAAGTGAAAAAAAAAGGGAAAGAGAAACCAGTGTGGTCAATGACCTCACCTACAAAAACATTTTTATTTTGTCTTAAACTGCAGAAATTTAACTAAGTTGTATCTACTACGTAACAATACCCCTACAGAGCTAATCAACCTAAAGTCTTATAAAACATATCTAAAGCATCCGTTCAATCAGCAGTATGCAACAACTAATCCTCCGACCAAAAGAAAAAAATGGAAATGAAATTAGTTTTGTTAATGATTGGGGCTTTATTCAATGCAAGTTTTAAGTTGTACAAACTCAATATAAATGTAAAAAAAAAAAAAAAAGCCATTGCATCAAAACACCAGACACAAAACAAAAACGCTCTCGTTTCTCTTGTTTTCAGTTATGTTTCCAACAACGTGACAGATCGGAATGGAATTCGGGAGGAGCGGCCGACAACGCCTGCCCTCCCCCCCGTAAAAAAAAAAAAAAAACGTGTTCCCGCACCCGGGGCAACCAAACAAACGTTAGCGGAGGTAGATATAAATGAATAGAAGGGGGCGAGGGGTTGTCCAGACATCTGGAATATACACTATCGTATATAACTTCTGCATATAACTCTTAGCTATCTGTCTGCATTAAAAAAAATTAGCTTGAACAAGCAACATTTTAAAAATAAAAGGGAGGAGAAAAAAAAAAACAGCTCCTCTAAAACCCAAGATCGCTCCTCCAACAAAACAAAGAAGGCAAAATATTCTCTCTTCCTTTTGTCCTTTTGTGCAAAAATTAAAAACGTCTCTCAACCGTTAACACTGTGACCGTTCGCTTGCTGTGCGTTCGCTTCCAAAACCGGCCTATGGGGTCGCGCGAGACACCCACGGCTAAGGCACGTCTTTCGGACACCGGTCCGCACCAACGCTGCGGACCGCCAGACGGGTAAACGCTCCGTCTCCGCCGTCGACAACGGCGTTAACAGTTCAAGGACACGCGCTTCTGCAAGTCATTCGTCGGAAACACCCAAGCCCATTCCAAGAGACGCTCAGTTTAAGAAGTCTGCGTCGGGGAGGGAAAGAGCTTCTACGATAAAACACGGTCTCAACTACTCGAAGAACAAGGACGGCCGACGTCGCGACAGTTTGAGCCGGTGATCCGCGATACGGCACCTCCCGATTTCAAATCCGCTTCGTTGCGTCCGGAGACGTATCGCTACAGCTGCACTACTCGAAATCGCCTAAACGTGGCTAAACGCCGGTTCAACAAACAGGACGCCGACGAAGTAAACCACACGAACGAGACAAGCGCGACGCACCTGCATTTCGCGTATTGCGCTCTACCAAAGACGCCGAATAAGTCGGACGCCACCAGCGACTGCTAAGCGGTCTGGCACTCTCTTCTACGAAGGTCGCCGCGCACCTAAAACTAGCCTCTATTTACAGAGATGGCTATCGAGAAACACCGGGCGTCTGCGAAATACGGCAGACGCACGAGGTACGTACGTTTTGATCTCGGTCCAAAGGTGCGTCGAGAACGACGACCCCCCGAAACGACAAACAAACGCAAGGACAAAACATTGAAGCCCGCGGCGTCGAAAGCCAACAGCACGGAACACCGACACAACTGTCTGTGGGCCTGTGTAAACACTGCATGTAGAAGACTGCACAAGAAACACACACAAAAAAATGGAATGTGAACAAAGCTTCAAAGCGCGAGTGTCTACACCTCTAAAAAAAAAAAAAAGACGGGGGGAATGAACACTTTTGATTTGGAATGTGCACACCGCGGAAATAAAGGCCCGTTCACACTCTTGCGACCGAGTACGACTGAGAGAGACGAGATCTCTTACAACTTCTTAAATGTTTCTAGAATGAGGGGACACACACACTGGACACACTGACATTGTGGCGCCATCTATGCGGTGACCCTAGAACTGCATTTCACAAAAGCGAAGGTTTTGCGGGATTTCCGAGGTCAAATGTGCGTAATACCCATAGAAAGGCTCGTTTATAACATTGACAAAAGTTTTTCGAGCCAAAAAAGAAAGGATATTGTGCGAGAAATAAAAAAAAATATGCCGGACCGCCGAGTTTACACTGCTTCCCAATAGATGGCGCCAGTGTGTTCTCTGGTTTAAGAAGTTTTAAGGAACCCAGGTTTAAGAGGTCGCAAGCAGTCGCAAGAGTGTGAACGGGCCTTAAGGAAGGAAGAAAGCACCATAGCCTTTCCTTATGCGAAACAGACAAACACACACAGACAAAACACAGGACATGAAACTCTAAAAATAAAACGGGTCAACACTGAAAGGACAGTCACAGAAAAAGCTTCCAAGTTAAAAAAAAAAAAAGGTTGCTGCCCTTCCATAGGAATGTCGTGGTTGCAACTGCACACAATCAAAAATCATTAAAAAAGGGGAATGCATGTGTTGACCACCTCTACTTCTTCGTATGGGTAGGCTGTTTGCACCACGACGCTTCCCTACTCCCCCTCTTGTCACAAATCCGGGCGTCGATCAATCTTTCTACAAAACATAACAACACAGTCTTGTAAGCCAACGCGATGCTCAAAAGTTTGTTATAGCGCACCCCACTTGGGCTGCACCTTACAGTGGGTGTCACAATGGGACTCTGGAAAGTTGTCACAAGGAGCTATCTGATCCAGAGCGTCCCCTTTGTCAGGAAAGCAGCCCCAGTCGATTTGCCAATCTGCTGTAGATTGAAGAAGCTCGATAGATAAAACATGCTGATTCACTTGGTGACATCTTCATCGCTTGTTGAGAGTCCCAGGTAAATTATGACCGGAGAAAAACTGACCACAACCGGTAAATGACCTCAAGTTTTGTTAGACCTCGATTGAGCAGAAAATAGATTCCAACCTCCACATTTGACATCTCGATGACTTGTGAACCTAACACCCAAACACTCGCATCTCAACTTGAGTCCATCTCGAATGTCCGAAGGTGACGGTGCTACACCAAGAAGCCGATCGAAGGTTGTTTCCCGAGGCGGCGTTAACGGGAGTTTCAATCCTCCTCGGGGGGTAAGAGGGGTCGGACGAGGGCACAAACAACCTCGAAGTGTCCTCAAGATTGTTTCAAGGTCGCCAGAAGAGACGCTACTACACAGAGGAAAAAAAAAAATGACTGAAGATTGTTTCTTGAGGCAGCGTTAACGAGAGTTCCGGTCTTCCTCGAGGGAAAAAAGGGTTGGACGAGGGTACAAACGACCTTGAAGGGTTGTCAAGGTCGTTTTGAGGTCGCCAGGAGAGGGGGGAGGCGTGTCCCGGCGCTTGGCTTAGAAGTAGCGGAATTCACCTTTCTTGCCCTGGCGCTCCCTGCGAACCCAGTCGGCCGGGGCGGGGGGCTGGCGGGGCCCGTTGTTGCCCCCACGGGGGCCCAGTCCCAGGGCAGACGGGCTCACCGATTCGCCCGTCATGTCATGTCCTGATGGCGAATCACCTCCCTACACCGGATATAAAAAAAAAAAAAGAAACAAAAAGATAAATAAATGGACAACCTTTTTAGATGTTGCAATCCTTGGCAATGCCTTCAAAGCGAGGGTCTCCAAACGTTTTGGCTAAGGGGCCGGATTAGCAATCTGTCGCAGTCTTTGAGTGCCAAAAAAGAAGAAAGAGTAATCATAGACGAAGAAACACTAAATAAATGAACACAAATAAGTAGGGGTGTACGAACACCGAATAGTAGTTATCGAATCGAATACCAAATCGAATTAAGAAAAAAAAGCCGAATATTGAATTGAACATCGAAGTGATTTTATTTGTAGGAAGTTTTCGAAGTGTGCTGTGAATGAGATTATTATATGTGCAGAGTGTGCGCCTAGTGCGGAATATAAATTTTTTAAGGAACAAAAGCTCAAATGTGTAAAACTTCTGGAGAGAAAAAAAGGAAAGAAAAACAGCTGCTGATGGACATTGGGCACTAAAGATCCAAATTTATGGCGCAAACAATCTATCTACCCTAAGCGCCACAAAAAACCCAATGTTACAGCCACGCGTCCCTTTTGTTCTCGTTAAAAGCACAACCTAACACAGCGACATGTCCTCTCCTTATATTTCTATATCTCAAAAAAGGGGCATTTTGTGACATTTGGTCTCAATTTTAAGGGAGAAAAAAGGCACCCAGAATTTTATTTTATATAAACAGATAGCTGTTAAATCTGAGTAAACAAGCTTAAACAATATACTGAAGTAAAAAAAAACATGCAATTTGGTGGAGCAAGTCACCGTTCAACTGCCGCTATTCAGCCATTCCTCCGTCTCTCTGTCCTGTTTTAAAGAACTTATGGTGAATTCCGCTCGCAGATCTCGAGCGCTCCAAAAGCGCTCCATTTGGAGCGCGCATATTCCGCTCGCAGATCTGGCTCAAGTTGGTCATCTTCCGCTCGTAGATCTCTGGCAGCGCCCGCTCCACGGAGCGCCCCAAACTCCGCCGAACTTGTTCTGCGGGATTTCACAGATCTCTCCGGAAATTGACAGAGCGGCCCACGTGATTTCCGTCTAAATCGGCGGTGCGCATACGCGGCGAGGTTGGAGAGATCGGCGGGCCGGTCGGCCGGTCGGGTCGTGGAGTTGGATCTGTTCGGGTGCGTCGGTTGTTTACTCTGGATTGTGACGGCTCGAACGCTTCTACTTCGCGTAGATCAGGGATAAAAAGCCGGGAATGTGGAGCGTGTCAAATCGTAAGCGCTGACTCTGTGATCGCGAGAGGAAGAACGAGAAAAGGAACGACAGAAAAGCCGGAGGCAGACGCAAGGTTAGGCCTATTCATTCTGCAGCCAGTGATTGTTTATCTTTTTGCACTGCATTCCGTCGGCGTTTTCCCGTGAAATAAAGCAAGAAGTGGTTAGGCAACGACCGCGCAAGTGATGGTTTGTTACCTCTGTGTTTATTAAAGTCGTACTACAAATCTGAACTCCACCGCTGGCAATCGCTGTCCGTGCCCCGCCGCTTCGAGGCGGCCGAAAGGTATGTGACGGTGCCGAACGCGGACGTCTTCGTTATTTGTGACATGGGCGCCATGGTACGTATAATTTCGCCCGGTCTGTGTCACGTGTTACTTCTGCAGTTAAGCAGTGACAGTCGTCACTGGTCGTCGGAAAGATTAGCCGGCTGAGGCGTAGGTGGGACTGGTCAAGTTCGAGCAGCGGCCATTTTGTACGGCGGAGGGAAAAGGGGTGGGAAGGGCTGTGGGGGAGGTCGCTCCAAAAATGCAAGTTTATCTTCCCCTCGTCGATTCGGAGCGGGTCCCACGGAGCGGAATTTGGCCTCCCTCGCGGATTTTGGAAAGCGCTCCAGATCTATGAGTGGAATTCACCATTAGATTTAAAAGAGGGAGCAAGCGACACTGAAACCACGGAGACGGCTCCTGCGCACATTGGTCGTAAGTGCGCACATGTTGCGTTGTCGCGTAAAAGGAAGGCGAGCAAACGGAAAAGCGACGACGCCTGCCCGATCGACACTTTCGTCTTTTCGACACCTTCTCACAGTTCGTAATTCAAACGCGACAATCAAACAGGTGGAAACCCTCTCAAATCTAAGCACACTATTTTCCCGTTCCGTTTTGTTCCGAATCAAAATTTGCGGCATGAGGATCCAAAAGAATGACGACGACAACTCGGCTGGTTTCATCAGTGTGGTTAACGTGGTTTCCTTTTTGTCATCTTGCTCAAAGATTTCTGTGAGTGTGGCAAGTGTGTTCAAGGTTAGATTGTGTCTTTGATCATGAGTAAATCTGCGTGCTATAAAGTTTGCGGCGTTCGTTACTTTTATTTTTTCTAACCTGTGCGTTAAGATTTTTGTGGAATGATAGAACCAATAGGTGTTTTTCGCATGGTCTGTCTAACATCACGGAACTAACATTGGGAGAAAAAAACGGTTCTTTTGTCAGCTCCGCTGCAACCGCGCATCTTCGGCCGAATATATTGAATATTCGAGTAACCGAATACTAGGAATTTGATTCGTGAATCGAATTATTCGAGAGCTTGCTATTCGATTTGAATTCATATATTCGAGTATTCGCACAGCCCTACAGATAAGCATTCAAGGGGGGACACTGGCACAAGATTCAACTTCTGAATTACTCAAGTGATTGAAATGAAATCTGCCGGGGAGATTCGACGTCAGATGTCAAAAAAAACTTTTCAATAAGAACTTGTTTACAACGGAGGCACCAGATACCCGTGGAGCTGACCGACTTCCCGCCATCTGAACGTACACGCAACGCAAAAATTTACTCTTTTTCACGTCGTTGGCTGTACTCCGCATTCAGAGAGAAAACGACGACAAGAGGATTCACTTCGGACAAATTTTGCGTCGTGGGAATGCAGTTCGGAAGAGGACAGCTTTTGTGATGCGTCCTCTCCCGACACAAGGTGACTACGTCCCGGTATGTATAGTCCAGTATACAGTAAAAACTCGTTATAACAAAGTTGAAGGAGCGATCGTAATTATTTTGTTATAACCATTAGTTTGTTATAGCCAATGTCCATTTCTTCCCTATTAGCAAGCAAGGGGAACTATGATTGCTTTGTTATATCCATTAGTTTGTTATATCCCATTTTGTTATAACGAGGTTTTACTGTAGTCACAAACGCTAATTATTGTACAGTAGGCTCAAGATAATTCAAGCTCAAATATTTCATACTTCTACTTAATTCAAACAAATTTCAAGATTTTGGTTGTCCCTCAGTGTTTTTAACGCATTTCGGCATTTCGAACGGCGTTTTCGTGTAATTCCTCATTTTTGTTCTCATGACCCCGTTAAGCGCGCTACTTATTGAGCATTGGCGCACTGCAGAAATGCAACACCCACGGAGCTCGCTTCCGCATTTGTCACCTCTCCGCACCGCAACGGTGCTAGGTAAAAAGCGCGCCCAATGGGGCTAGTAGTCCGCAATAGACAACTTTTTTTGCTGGATGTACAAACTCACTTTTGTTCCAAGGTGTCACCCGCTGTCTAAACAGTCGATGATAGAGGACATTTCTGAGGGATGAATAAACCTATCTCATACATTTCCCCAATGCATCTCCTACATTTTCCCAATGCATCACCTATCACATGTGGCATACGTGCTTACGATTAGTATTCCTGCATAGAGGACATCGCCAAATATCTGCCTTCTATGCGTAACCATCCACATAAAAAGTCATAATTTTATTTTGCGTCATAATCAGATGAACTGATGATAACTCAAACTTCTGATATATCAAACGAAATATGTGGCTTCCTGAAGTTTGAATTAATGAGTCTACTGTATGCACAAAGTCCTCCTAGGGACAAATCTCGCAGCTCTCAAGAGAAGGAGACTGACACAATGGGGTGCCTAATGCCCTTTCATTTGAGCAAAGGTTCTCAAACTTCTTCATCTCAAGGAACACCTATCTCCCTTGAATGGCGGCCGAGAAGCCCCACGTGGCCCTGGCACTGAAGCAGTAAAGCACTACAGAAGCCTACTGACCTTTGCAAAGATAAATGTACACACCAGGAAAACGTTTGCCACATAGATATGCCTCAACGGACAGCTCGGATCTTCGGAAATAGAGGCTAAACTTGAAGAACACTACATCTCCAAAGATACGACACCCATTACCTAACACATTACTTCAGATGTCACCACTCTCAGCAAAGTGCACAAAAAGACACCCCATGTCACGAGTGCTCTCCCATCAAGGCATCGGAATCTTGTCAAACTGTCCGATGCGGCTCGCCGCAACGCAACAGCGCTAGAGAAGAGACTACACCTCTAGGCCGTACCTCGAGACCCATGTCCGCAAAGGCTCCTCCTGGCGGGTACGGTGACCTCACGGGGGGGCTGTAGTTGTCCTCTCCCCGGCCCCGGTCGTAGCCGCCCACCACGCTGTCGCTGCCCCCTTCGTCCTGGTAGGGCGTCACAATGGTGTGGGGCACGTGCCCCACCTGGCCCCGGATGTTGCGCGTCTTCCACCACTTGCGGCTGTCATCCAGGATCTGCGACAAAAGCGAAGTTCGGCGACCATCGAGACGCTTGCCTTGTCAAACGCAGCGAAATTTAGTGGGAAAAGGAAGTTCAGATACGGATCTATGTCTTGTAGTCTGTCGTGTCTTACCTAAGGCAACGTTCCTCTAGCTCTGCGTCATTGCAGAACTCTCGACTATAGGGGGTTCATTGGTAAACCCTCAGCAATTAGATTGCCGTAAATTGGAAAAGGTCAAAGTCGTCGATTTGACTGAATGCAAATCACGTTTAGTGTCTGCAACAGCCTGCAGACGAACCCAAACTAGGCAGTCTCGCAGTGGAAAGCCGAAATGGCAACACGTGCCCGAGTGCTTTCCCCAAGAAAGGCTACATTAAAAAGGCTACAAAAAAGTGAGGACTCTACTATAGCTGCAGAAGTTCAATGCGGCGATTTCAACCCTCTTTAGTGCCTTACGGTCCCTGAAGGAGCGATCTAAAAGTCCATGCTAGAAAAACTGGAAGTCCACACTAGGGAGAAACGACGTAGATGGGAAATAATAGGAACAGCTAAGCACCAGCTATGCTGGCAAAAAAGCAAAGAAACAATGACAAGAAATGCTGCTTTTTGGTTGGACCATGCCCCTTTATTTTATGGTACTTGTTTGTTATTGTATGTCTGTATAAAGGGACCCCAAAAAGGTTTTGTCATGGTTAAATAGTGCTCAAACTACACGCTTCCCATTCAGAAAGAACAGAACGGGCACATGTTTTTGTTTACAGACGCTAGCTTCTACAAAAAGTGAGCTCAAGAAGGCTACACTCTTTTTCCTCGGCTACACTTTACACCCCAAGACTAGACACCTCTTTTCCTTATAAAACAAAGAAGGAAGAGATTCTCTTCAGAAGTGGAACATGAGAGTCCATAAACCTCAAAAATAACAAAACAAGAAAAAAAAAGCTGTAGCTATGTAGCAAGTAGCAGAAAAAAAGAGAAAGACAAAGACACTGCAGCTGCAGCTTTGCAACGTGATGCATCTTGATGGGGGCCCAATGTGCCATGGCGAGATAACCACACACAAGAAAAGAAGGTAATCAAATCCTCGACAGCCAGCTTCCATTCAACGCGTGCACTTCTAGACTGGGACTGCTCAAATATTTTGATCTCAAAGAACGCACATTCCTCTCGACTGCCAAGGAACCCCCTCTAGTCTCGGCATCGAGACATCAAGCCCATAGGCCCTGTAAACAATAATGCACAAACTAGGAAGTGTTACTCAGATCTTCCGAAATAGTGCTTGAAATGGTAGAAGGCTACTAAGGGGCAGGGGCGGCCGAGGACATCTAAACAAACGCAACTCGATTGGAACTGTGCGGCTTCGCAAAGCACGAGACGCCACTCTAAGATCATCGGAGGAGGCTCCGGCTGCGCGGACTCACCTCGAGGAACTCTCCGCGCACGACGGTGAGCTCTTTGTCGTTGTTGGCGGTGCGTGGGTAGACCACCTGAACCAGCTTGGCACCCTGGTCCCGGAGGCCGTCGGCCCAGGCCCGCCACTGGCGCTGGGGGTCCGGGCGCTCCATCGAGTCCACGCTCAGCTCCGACCTCTGGTCCCTCGGGTCGTGCAGGTCCGGCTCTGACGGGGTCTGAGTGCCCGGCCTGCGGGGAGAGGCGGTTTTAAAAGCGTCTTGCATCCGCTCCAAAGACGTGGAACAGCGTTTACGTCCCTAGGAATGGAACCGCCGTTACCGCTGCTATAGAGATATAACCGCCGTTATAATTGCTACAGTCGAACCTCGATATAACGAACTTCAATGTAACGAAATCCTCGATTTAACGAAGTATTTTATTTTTCATAATTTCTTGCCCATAGACCCCATGTATTTTTAGTCCCTATATAACGAAGTCTAATTGGCTGCTATTTCAATATAACGAAGCGCCATTGCCATAGAAGGCAATAAATAAATCAACTCTAAAAAACAACTTCGCAAAAAAATTGTGGTTAAAAAAAAAAAATTATTCGCAAACGCGAGCGCTTGATAGGTTACTTGACGGGGACAGGCCTTCCAACGTTCCTAGGCTGCCCCAGGATGCGGCGCCGGTAGCGCCGGCGAGGCATGCGGCAAAGCGGATTCCGCGAGGCTGGCCAGAAAATGCCGAGCAAAAAGTTAACACGGCATAACAGCATCACCACTGACATTCACTGATCATCATAGTCCACTGTACCGCGGGTAGCGCGGGAGCCAACTTCAGCGGGGGAGCGACGTGATGGCGCGACCGCGCGACCGCACGGGCAGTGCCATCTAGGAGAAGACCGAAAAGACCGATTATCGTCTTGAGAGCGTGATGTAAAGCAAAGGCGCAAGCACACTGTGGGCGCAAGGGGGCAAGTAAACTGTGCGGTCAAGAGTGCTGTGTAGGTTGGAAACATTGGCACCGCCTAAACTAAACAGCTTTATTTTTCAACTCGGCGGTTCACTTACGTGCTTGCTGCCATAGGGAAAGTTCTTTCTTTGGATGAGAAAGCAAACGTTTTGGACGCCATCCTGAAGAAACTGCCGAGATCACGAGCACTCGGGAAGTGCTCGACGCAATGGACGTACTGAGGAGGTACACGGCGTCGCATGGGCAGCAGGATGCCGTGCAAGCGCTCTGGGCGCTCGAACGCCGTATGACGCCGCCAACGCCGCTGCTACTGTCGGACAAGGCGCAAGCAAAACTCGCGGACTACTTCGCCCCTAAATAAATGTCATTTTCGGTGAGTTTTCATACCCGTAAAATGTTTCGGAATTTTTTTTTCGCATGCTAAAGCCAAATTTCGATTTAGCGAAATTTCAATGTAACGAAGTAAATTGCGAATTTTACCGACTTCGTTACATCGAGGTTCAACTGTATATGAATTTAACGGCAGTTAGATCTTTGCAAATGTGACCACTGTAGAGATGTAACAGCGGTTAGATATTTGCAAGTGTAATTACTGCAGAGATGTAACAGTGATTAGATCTTTGCAAATGTGACCATTGTAAAGATTTAAAGGCGGTTAAATTTTTGTAGATGTAACCCCTGTTATGATCACTGTAGAGATGTAACAACTGTTGCAGATGTAACCACTGTAGAGATGTAACAGCGGTTAGAGATTTGTAGAAGTAAAAGCTGCGGAGATGTTACAGTCGTTAGATCTTTGCAAATGTAACCACTAAAGATGTAACAGTGGTCAGACTTTTGTAGATGTAACCCCTGTTATGACCACTCTAACAATAGTTAGATCTTTGCAGGTGTAACCACTGTAGCAATGTAACAGCAGTTAGAGCTTTGTATGTATAAAAATTGCAGAGATGTAAGAGTGGTTAGATCTTTGCAAATGTAATTACTGCAGAGATGTAACAGCAGTTGGATCTTTGCAAATGCAACGTCTGTAAAGATTTAACAATGGTTAAATTTTTGTAGATGTAACCCCTGTTATGACCACTGTAGAGATGTAACAGATCTTTACAGATGTAACCACTCTGGAGATGTAAAAACGGTTAGAGCCTTGTAGATGCAAAAACTACATAGATGCAACAGTGGTTAGTTCATGGCAAATGTAACCACAGTAAAGATATGACAGCGGTTAGTTCTTTGCAGACGTAACCACTGTAGGTATATAACAGCGGTCAAATTTTTGTAGATGGAACCACCATTATGTAACTACAGCAAAGATTTAACAGTGGTTAGATCTTTGCAAATGTAATCACTAAAGATGTAACAGTGGTCAGACTTTTCTAGATGTAACCCCTGTTATGACCCCTATGAGATGTATCAGATCTTTGCAGATGTAACCACTGTGGAGATGTAAAAGCGGTTAGAGCCTTGTAGATGTAAAAACTACAGAGATGCAACAGTGGTTAGTTCATGGCAAATGCAACCACGGTAAAGATATGACAGCGGTTAGGTCTTTGCAGACGTAACCGCTGTAGGTATATATAACAGCGGTCAAATTTTTGTAGATGGAACCACCATTATGTAACTACAGCAGAGATGTAACAGTGGTTAGATCTTTGCAAATGTAATCACTAAAGATGTAACAGTGGTCAGACTTTTGTAGATGTAACCCTTGTTATGACCACTGTAGAGATGTAACAGATCTTTGCAGATGTAACCACTGTAGAGATGTAAAAGCGGTTAGAGCCTTGTAGATGTAAAAACTACAGAGATGCCACAGTGGTTAGTTCATGGCAAATGCAACCACAGTAAAGATATGACAGCGGTTAGGTCTTTGCAGACGTAACCACTGTAGGTATATAACAGCGGTCAAATTTTTGTAGATGGAATCACTATTATGTAACTACAGTAGAGATGTAACAGTGTTTAGATCTTTGCAAATGTAATCACTAAAGATGTACATAACAGTGGTCAGACTTTTGTAGATGTAACCCCTGTTATGACCACTGTAACAATAGTTAGATTTTTGCAGGTGTAACCACTGTAGCAATGTAACAGCAGTTGGAGCTTTGTATGTATAAAAATTGCAGAGATGTAAGAGTGGTTAGATCTTTGCAAATGTAATTACTGCAGAGATGTAACAGCAGTTGGATCTTTGCAAATGTAACCTCTGTAAAGATTTAACAGTGGTTAAATTTTTGTAGATGTAACCCCTGTTATGACCACAGTAGAGATGTAACAGATCTTTGCAGATGTAACCACTGTGGAGATGTAAAAGCGGTTAGAGCCTTGTAGATGTAAAAACTACAGAGATGCAACAGCTAGAGCCTTGTAGATGTAAAAACTACAGATATGCAACAGTGGTTAGTTCATGGCAAATGTAACCACAGTAAAAATATAACAGCGGTTAAATTTTTGTAGATGGAACCACTATTATGTAACTATAGCAGAGATGTAACAGTGGTTAGATCTTTGCAAATGTAATTTCTGCAGAGATGTAACAGTGGTTAGATCTTTGCACATGTAACCACTGTAGGTATATAACAGTGGTCAAATTTTTGTAGATGGAACCACTATTATATAACCACCGTAGAGATGTAATAGTGGTTAGAGCTTTGCAGATGTAATCACTGTAGGGATGAAACAGCGGTTAGATCTTTGCAAATGTAACCATTGCAGGGATTTAACAGCTGTTAGATCTTTGTAAATGTAACCACTATAAACATGTAACAGCAGTTAAATGTTTATAGAAGTAACCACTGTTATATAACAACTGTAGAGATGTAACAGTGGCTAGATCTCTGAAGATGTAACTGCAATTATAACACTATAGGAATATACCAGAGTTCAGAAATATACAGATGTAACTGCTGTTATAACCATAGTAGAGATGTAATCACAGCTATAATTGCTACAGAAATGTAACAGCAGTTACAACCCTATAGATGCAAACTGCTCTTATAACTGCTACAGAGATGTAACAAAGGCTAGATCTTCATGGATGTACAAATGCTGTTATAACTGCTATAGAGATGTAAAAGCAGTTAAATGTTTGAAGATGTAACCACTGCTCTAACCACTATACACTCCGTGCGGTAACTATAGGGAGCGCTTTGAAAAACGCGCGCAGCGCCGCTAGCGGAGGAGCTGGCGTTCGACCGTGAGGCGCGTTCAGCAGGGTTGCCAGGTTGGGCTATAAATAGCCAAATTGGGCTAGTTTTATTTGCAGTTGGCGGGAAAAAATGGTAGTTGGCTATTTGGCTAGTATTGGGCTATTTCTGACCTGTGCATTGGGCTATTTCTGACCTGTGCATCGAGCAATTTCTGAACTGTGTTAGAACCAAAATGCCTGAAAGCACTTGGGTTTATAGGTTCAAACGTGTTTTTTTAGTGTAGATAGATAGTCTTCATTCGACCCTGGAGGGTCGCAGCACCACAGAAAGGCCATTGGCCCGTACCTGAGGCCTGTGGTGCCGCAGTATAACAGGAACTTAACACATCAGTAACAAGGACATTGACGGTAATTGATGTTTAACGCAAAGGTCATATGGGATGGTACGTGTCAGTCCGAAAAGGAGGTGTCCGTCACTGCCGGAGGAAGTCTAATACCTTCTAGCACCAGGCTTTCATGTCCTCTTTCTCTTGGGGGGCGCTTCAGTCCCTTAACCCTGATAAGTATGCGACAGCAAAGAAATCAACCATTTCGTCGTTTACCCTGAGACTGGGTTTTTTTTGAAAAGCAGAAGTAACAGAAAAAACAGACAGTCTCACTTCCACCAGCTAGCCTGTACTTTGACTCTTTTCTCGTTAACAGCAAAGAAATTCGTCTTCTTTTTGTGCGCCTTGTGCAATTGTTTACCTCCGAATTTTGTCCGAATGCAAGCATGTGTTGTTATTCCTCCATCTCAACAAGTGACGGCGCGATTCCTTGCGGCCTTAACAGCACCTGTTCTGCGCATTCATTAGGTTGTCTGTTGATTGGCTTGCACCTATACTTTGTGTTTAATTCTGCATAGTTCTCCCATGACGTCATTCTGGTCATCATGCCCCGATAGTAAGCGTCCGAATACAGTGGAAGGTATGTTGTCATGCGCTTGTACGAGCGTTTCAGGAGGTTCGTCGAACGTGCAAGGGACGCCATTTCTGGGGCATTTGGTGGATAAAAATGTATCATGTGTCTTTTCTGCTCAAAATAAACGTTTCAAATGATAAGTGTGTTTGCTTTTTTTTTTGGCTATTTTTGGGCTATTTTTCTGGATCGACATTTGGCTATTTTTAAGCTATATCTCGTAGACGTTTGGCGGGTTGGAGTCCTGACACCTGGCAACCCTGGCGTTCAGCAGTCTGCGGCGCCTTTTCGCACGCGAAGCTGTGGCGGCGGAAGCGCGCACGGACGAAACTTTTGCTTTTTGAGCCGATACGTTGAGGGTGACGTTGCATGAGTGCTGGGGCAGGCCTAAGAAGGTCATTTAGCTGTTCTCTACTTCTTATATATTGAGTTTGAGTCGTTATTATGGGTAATTTTCTTATTTGCGGCCAAAAAAGGAGTTGGAGCAATTTTCCGAAAAGCAAGACGGCCGCCACCATAATTGTTTTGAGTGGGAAATTCATTTTGCTCGACGCTGTAAACGTAGGACTGCTGGAACGATGATATTGGAGGCGAGTGAGATGTTCACTAAGTTTCTGCACGAGGTGTGCCAAGTTTCATTACAGGTGTGAAAGTTGTTTCTAACGAATAAAGAAATAAAGCTGTACGGTATATCCAATATTGGACCCAAAATGTTATGTTATAGCGGGCTGTGCAAAGTGCAGGTTTTGGCCCACAGGTGCTTGGACGACAGTAACATGACACAGCACTTATTATACAAAAAAAAAAGGTGGCATAGGGAAACCAGGTGAAAATTTGGTTTGGGCGGCGTAACTCAGCGGGAACCGGTTTTGACCATGAAAAGGCTGTCAAGAGAATACCACTGGTCGGGGGAGGTGGAGACTTTAGAGGTAGGAAGGGACTAGTGGACTGTACTTCCAATTGAAACAACTTTACGAAAGGTGGTTCCAAAGCCGAGAAAACAAAGTTGTCGGCCAACACACGGTTTGGCCGCCAAGTGCTTTTGCGGTCAGCCGTTGTGTAATAAGCTGTTGTGCGAGGTGCTGATTTTCGGCCCACAGGTACTTTGACATGACCGTCACTTGGCACAACACTTATTATATCAAAAATAGTTAGCAAAACCAGGTGGAAATTTAGTTTGGGCGGCGTAACTAAATGGGAACTGGCTTTGACCGTCTAAGGCTGTCAGAAAATACCACTCATCGTGGGAGGTGCACACTTTACAGGTAGGAAGGGACCAGTGGACGGTACTTCCAGTTCGAACCACTTTGCGATAGGTGGCTCTAAAGCCGAGAAAAAAAATTGTTGTCTACAGAACTCGGGATGTCAGTGTTTCCACATCCAAAAGGAGGCTGATCAAGAAAGAAAGCACACCACATAAACTTCCATACTCAAACGCCGATTCTCCAGTGATTCCGAGTTTCATGGTTGTTTTCTTTAGATTTATATGTCACTTTTTTTACCGTTGGAATCTTTCTTCATGAAATACAGATTGCGTGCCATATTTGTCCAAAAATATCATTGACACGTACAATGGGGACGAAACATTTTTGGAGGGCATTCCTCCAACGAAATTGGCACTGCATACCCGCGAGTGTGGGATTGCATTTCAGTTCGTCCCATCGGCGCTGACACATGTTGGCGTTACTGGTACGAAAACAAACGCAGAGCGCAAAGCGGCAGTGAAGAATATGTCAGCCGTGCCGACACAGTGACAGACATGATCGGGACACCAAATTTCTCGCGTCGTACGGCACGGCTCTATCGTTGTCGCTGTCCCACAAAACATCGGCGAGGTGAAAAACTGTGAAACTTTGTATCCACGAGATACGACGCATAACTATTGAAGCACTTAATGACGCAGCACAGGCTGTGAACCCAGCGCAACAGCACCATTCCGACTTCAATGCGTACCAACGTACGCGGCGTGGTTTCGGTTTCGTTTTCTCTGGGGTTCTCACTGCCTACCTTTGGTACCGGCCGCGCGGCGGCGCGCCAGTCGCGTCGCACGGAGTGTATAGAGATGTAAAAGTGGCTAGATCTCATTCAGATTTGAACGCTGTAATATTTCGATTAGACGCTCGTTCACAAACCCAGGCAGCAGATGGTTCGTGAAAGAATGGTAGGTGGGGCAATCTTTCCGGTACATGATTCTTGAAAAGCTATCAAAAGGATTGAACACCACATAAAAAATAGTTCTCAAGGACACAGATGACGTAGGAACAGAAAGTAAAGACAAGTACAGTGAAGCCACTGAAAATGGGCCAGCCCCTGGCTGGGAGCACGAGAGTGAAGGAAGTTCTCTTCCCCACCTCGGATAGGATCTAGAATGTTGCAAAGCTGCATGTTCCGACATATTAGGGTCACACACCTATCCTCCTAAAGTGGTGACAGTCTACCGCAAAATAAAGGTCGTGGACAGCCACCACTTTTGGAGGGAGGGAGTGTGACGTTGAGGGCAGATGTTGAACAAGGAACATTACGGCAGAGTGGCACAACGGGGTGGGCTTACCTGTCAAGGTGGTCGCGGGGCGAGAAGCTGCGGTCGTAGGGCGACGCCTGAATGGAACCCGGCCGCTCGCCGAGGTAGTCGCTCCCGCCGTAGCGGCTGTCCACCTCGTGCTGCCCCGGCACGTTGCCGCGGTGCGCGTGGTACTCCGGGACATCACGCAGCTCCACCTGGAACGATGATGTTGAGCCGACGTCGAGCCAATGTAACACTAACCTGATGACGACGTCACACCAACTTTGTACCAATGTAAAACCTACATTCTGCTAATTTAATAACAGTGTAACCCCGACATTGTGCCAGTGTAATGCCAACATATCTCCAATCTCACGTGGGCCTGATAACAATGTCATGCCGACGTAGTGCCAACTAAATGCCGGCACTGTGCCATCACTGCTGCTCCTGGAAGGTTCTCCCCCACTGTAAGCTACTGATGCTTTCAAGTTCCCCAAGTATGAGCACACACCATGCCGACCGTGGCAGAAGAGCAAGGTGCCTGAACGGCACCGCCTCGCCATGCAGCATTGTGGCAAAAGTTTGCTGGCATTTCGGACTAATGCCGTGAGATGGTGCAAGATGTCTGGGGTAGTAGGAAGCAGATAAGAGCTTCTCAAGGAACCGTCCTCGCACGCAGGCACTGCACAATCATGCCTCCGCAAGGGCCCTAAACTAACAGTGCCCCTGCCCGGAGGTGCACGAAGCACGAGCAAACTTTTGCTGCCCTGCTGCCACGGCCGGCAGAGCCACCCGAGCACTGTCACAGCCAGCGGAGAGCAGTCAGCCTCACCTCCTCTTGCGACCGGCGGCGGGGGTGCGGCTGCTGCGGCATCATCTGGTCGTCCGAGCCCGTGCTGCAGTCCGGGGCCCAGCCGTCCGAAAACACGGGCTGGTAAGTCTCCGTCTCGTAGCCCTTCCAGAGGTCCCGGGGGACCACCCAGGGGTCCCCGAGGCTGTGCCACAGGTCGCTCTCCTTCGAGGTGCAGCAGTTGGCGAGAAGCTCCAGGGCATCTCGCGTAAGCAGGGGGCTCACGACGCGAGAGGCCAAGCTCGGGCCCGTGCCGGCCCGGCCGCAGTCACGGGCGGCGTCCACGATGACGGCCAGCGGAGTGAACAGGAAATGCACGAGTTCCGGCGAGTTCGGCTCGTGGATGTGGTTCTTCAGCTTGGCCTGGAAGGAAAGCCAGATTTGTCGATCTACAGGTTCCTCACGTTTCGTCGCAACCGAAATGTAACGGCAACTTTTGTTGGCGGTGGTTGTTAAAACGTACCAGAAGGTTGAAGGAGAGCTTGAACTTCTGCAGGATGTCGACGAACTCCCGCTCCGGAGGGGGCTTGGCACGCATGCTCAACATGCCGTCTGCAAAAAGAAACGCATTGCTCCCAAGTTTGTTTCCTGCATCGAAAGATCTCGGAGAACCAAAAGCTTTCAGCGGTAAGACAGAGAGCTGCCAGAAAGACAACCATGCGAAAGACGGGAAAACAAAGTTCACGAGGAAGAACGCTGCTTTGGTTACCTCCAAGATCTTTCTTCTTGTTCTTGCGGGACTTGCGGCGTCGATCAAGCTCTCGGTACGCAGCCGCCGCGTGCTGCAGACGCGCGATGAACCGCTCAATGTCGTCGAAGCAGTGGTTCAGGATGGCCTGTGCAAAAACGGGCCACAAAAGCCAATGAGGACAATGGCAACAGGAAATATGGTATTTTGCAATGGAAGAGACAGGTCAACGATACTTCAACCATCATATCGCTGCTGCCCCCCCCCCCCCCCCCCCCCAAAAAAACAACAACAACAACCAGCGGGCGTGTGCTTTATTTCACTGCAATCGTTTTTCAGTCATTGCCTGCAATGCGTTCTTTCCCGCCCATAAAAGCGGGTTCACCAGGGTTCATTTGAACATTTTAAGTTGTTTAAACATTCGTTTCGGGTGATGCTTGCTTGGAATCTGGTTTTGGCTTCATGCTGATATTAAAATGAGGTCTTAACATTGCCCCCTGCTGCCTGTTTTACTGAGTTGTGCACGGGAAACGAGCAGCACATATTTACCGCGATTTTCGAAACTGCTAAAGGTGCAATCTGATCCAAGCCTAGGAAGATCAACAAAATAAATTTGCCCCTTTTCCACAGAATGTGTAGTATGTTCCTTTGCAGTGACATTGCACACAGACATATTGTTGTGCGTAGCGTCTCTGAAAGAAGGCCCTGCCAAAGCTAGCACTCCGGCGGGAGTGGAACGCATATATTGCCTGTCATCCAGTCGCACATCACAGTTTTAACACTGCTATTAATGTGAAACATTCTTTAACTAAATGTTCAGCATTTCGTGAAGCCCAAAAAAACCATTGGTTTAGAGCGGGAAGGAAAAGGCCATCGCGGTAAGAAAGTGTTTCTGCAAGGCGGGAATCGAACCCAGACCATCTAGATCAGTGAACTCAAACTCATTTGAGTGTGAGGCCCCGACAGCCCACACCGGAAAGGTCGAGGGCCAACGTAGGGCGAAGGGGGGTGCTCAAAAGATTTTAAAGAGACGAGACCTCGGTGCTTTATGCTTTTTGTAAACTCACAGTTTTTCCAGTAACATCTTTAGATTTGATTTGACTTTGTGCCTTGACCAGATGTGTTAAGATTTAAAATGACATAGCCCCGCCAATGTGCTGGCATTTTTAATAAAACAAAAGAGCAAGTACACTGTCTTTCCCAATGCTCAATTTACTCAGGAATTAACCAAGCTTAACATGTCTCTAAAAAACATTTGGTTAATTTGTCAGTTTTCGATTTCCTGATGATTTTTACTACAACACCCTGAACAAGTAATTGTCTTTTAATGGAGATATTTTTTTGAAAATGAGAATCCTGAGCTCGTAGCCTTATCTTTCGCCGTTGCTTCTGCTGATAGAGAGTTTGAGCAGCCGAAATGCTTTCTTCAAAAAATACTATAAGCCCCTTCATTTTCATGGACCCTATTTTGTGCAAATCGGTCACAGAGGACATAATCGCAGCCACTAAATTTCGCGAATTACAGACGCCTGCATTGAAACTCTTAAGGACTGAAATTTTCGCTTGCCCTTAAATTTCCAAATTTTTGAATTCGGGAAAATGAAGGGCACGCAAACGTTAAGGGTTTTACAGTAGCTCGCGCTTGCAGCCTAGTAACGGAATTGTTGTACAGTACAAAAAGTTGGGAAACAAACAAATTAAGCAAAACAAAGGGCAAATGAACACAGATAAGTATAACCTATGTGAATACGTTAAAAGAGCAGAGCTACTTTTCGAGAGAAAATGAATCGAAGAGACAACTGGCACATGCAATTTCTAGCGCTCGAGACATGGGAACCGGGGCTCGCAGCCTGTGGGCTGCGTCCCAGCGAGTCGCAGGCCACATGTTTGATACCCCTGATCTAGATTATTAAGCGAGTCTCTCTCCAACATGTCACGACACATTGCCGTGAGTTGAGGTGCTATTAACGAGAAACGTTCGACATTTCGTGAAGCCCGAATCAAAGCGTGGCCGCTAGGCTCTACACTGATTGGTTGACAGGTGGGAGAGGAGGAGTGATGTGCTCAATGCTGATTGGTTAATAGAGAGGTTATGCGACCACAGAGGTCGGCGAGGAGGATCTTGACCACCTGTGCGCACCAAGGGAGATAAGCTCGAGATGATGGCAGACGCTGGAAGATCGTCAGGTTTATCAGCCCAATTAGTGGTAGTATTGCTTCATTCTAGCAGCAACTATCAAGTGTACACATGGTACGTATTTAATTATCTAATGAAGAGCATGGTGATTGTAGGTGACTGGCGTCGGGGAGCTCATATCGCTGAACGTTTCGGAGGCTGGAATGTTTCACGCATGCAACACAATCGGATAGCGATTTTCCATAAATTTTTCACGCCACCCCCGTTTCCTTCGAGGCATGTGCTTGTTCCTTTTTCCCTTGCTTCCTGCAAACTCTCCCAAGATATGTGCGAGCACACTAATTTAACGCTTTTGGGTCATTTGTCGGGTGTCTCCAGGCAAACAAATATTCCTGTTCTGGACAGGCATCGGGGCTCCCACAACAGGCCCATTTCTCCTTTGCGGTCAAGCGCCTAGCACTTCCCAACAATTTCAACTTGCGCCATCTCTTATCAAGCATGTAAACTATGCATACTTAGTTTCTTTGTCCCCTCAAGTAAAAGGTGCGACACATTTTTGTTTGCTAGGTGCACGGGTGGGCATTTCACATGCGCTTTTGGGTGTTCAGGATGGCAGCTTTGTCCGCGTTTTACAAACTGTGCAGTCTGCAGTGACAGGAAAGTCAAAGGGCAAAGACGTGAAACTGTTTTCTACTGTAAAACCTGCAATCTACACCCTCGCTTGCACCCCGGCATTTGCTTTAAAAGTATCATACGCTGCACAAATTCCACTAGTGTAGTTCAAGAATTCAAATGAAAACATTCAGGACAACGCAGAGTTATTTCAAACTGAATGTGTTGATCGCAATAGATTAAAGAGTTGAATTTAAGTCACTCAATGATTTGATCCTTTTTCGCTTAAGCTAATTCTGACTAGAGAGGCCTACAAAGGGAAGACTCACATGACCCCAAAATGTTAACACTCCCTAGACGGCAAGACCACAGTGCTTGAAAGAAGGGCAGGAAGGACAGAGCAGTAAGACACAGAGGTTAACCTGGGCAATTTACCCGGTCAGCTACCCTGTGCTGGGGCAGAGGGATAGGGGGACTGAAAGAAGGAGTTAAAGAAAGGAACACAGACAAAAGATCAGAAAATCAGTTACGCAAGTATGTCCCTTCTTCATCAAGTGCATATTTGTTTGTACGGCATTTCCCCCTAAAAATTCTAGCGTTTGTTTTTTTTTTCTTTTTTTTATTGCAGTTTGAACTAGAAGCCGAAGTTTCAAAACTTGCCGTTATATCGTTTAAAAGAAGTGACTCTCTGAAAGTTTCAATGGCAAAGTGGGGCATGTTCCCGGCAGCCGACGCCACTTGTCTCCACACGTTCGTGGGCTTTGTCGACCACCATTTTACCATTAAAAATTTCTTAAAATCGCTTACAACTTTTGTACCGGATAGCGTCACGCCCTGAAACTTCGCCGTCCGGTTCGGACCACCAATGCTACATTTGGGTGGAGGCAGAGCATTGGGTGACGCATAATTTACATTTGTGGTAAAAAAAAAATAGGGCTGGCGGTCATTTTACAAAAGGATTACAAATGATAAAAAAAGTAGCAATCTCTTTCGGCAAATTAAAAGGCATACATTTTTTTTTTTTTTTTTTTTCCGGGTGCACCCTACACAACGTTGCGGCACGGCATTGACGGAGAAGGACGCCTGCGGGCAAGAGCTCTTGCGCCACTCACCACTTCCCGCTCGTACTTCTCGCTGGTGGTGGAGCTGGTCTCGTCGTTGGACTCCCGGGCGTAGCCGCCAGGCGGGGCGCCCCGGTCCATCTTGTCGTGGGGAGCGCGGAGCAGCTGCGTGTGGGTGGGCGGGGAACCCTGGGACACGGCGTTGAAGATGCTGACCTGCTCCCGGACGTTGATGCCGTTGAGCGGGGGCTCGGGCGGGGCCACGTTCGGGGGAGGGGGCAGTGCGGAGCCCCCGCCTCCGGGCCTGGAAACGAGAATGGCCCGTCTTCGTCTTGCATGTGACGTATGGAGGCGCAAGAAGTGCGGAGAATCCTTAACCGTGCCGACGCAGACGCAAGTTTAATGGTGCCGTATGACGTCGTGTCACAGTGTCACGTCGCGTTGCATCATGTGACGGCCGGGCACAACACCGTGACATCATGCGACCTGACAACGCGTCGAGTTGCCGCATGGTCGGCGTGGTGCAGCATTGGTGATAACACATTAGTTTTTTTTTCAGTAAAACAGTAACATACTCGTTACATCTTCAAATCAGTAACGGGTGATGGGGGTACTTATGTTACTTATTTCGAGTGACGGGTAACGTAGTTAAATTACTTGTAACATCATCTTTTTAAGACTTAAAAAAAAATTACACTTCAATTCTTTTTTGCGTGTGTCTGGGCACCAATCATATATATTCTTAAATTTTTCATGTTTTTACCTGGTGAGTAACTATGTAGAATCGTAAAGAGATAAAGTGATTTATTAGTTTCTGCGTGGACATGTTTCCTGAAATGTGGCACTTACGCATGCCTGTAAAATCAAAACATTTTAATTCATAAATAAAAAGTAACGCCAAAGTAACGTGTGTTACTCTTAATCAGTAACAGTAATGCATTTGTTTTTACTTTGAGTTAAAGTGGGCCGGTAATGCATTCCTTTTATTTGCCAGTAACAAGTAATGTCTAGGATAACCTCAAGGACGATGTCTAGGAGGACATTGAGGATGACTACTAGGACGACCTTAAAAGGACACTAACGCCCCTCCAAAACTTCTTTTTTTTGTTTTTTTGCCAGGCAATCGATTATGGAGTCAGAAGGCTACCCAATCAATATTTTGCAACAGCGTCACATATATCTTTAATAAAGTAAAAATGCGCAACTGCTCGCAGCCGAGACCAAAACTGGACTGGGGAGGAAGAAGAAAAATAAAGGAGGAGAAAGTTACCGGAAGTCACGTGGCTGTGCAACTTTTTTTTTTTTATTTTAATCAATGTATTTGCAATTTTTTAGAAGCCACGAAAAATGGGTATCATATTTTTTGTCTGTTTTTTGTATTGACTATGTGCCTTCGGTGACCCATGACTTTGATTATCTTTGGTGGTTGTGTCTAAACCATAGAAAATGGCACGTGACCTCGGGGAAGAAAGTGAGCGCGACTAAAACTGGCCATTTCTCGATCGGCGGTTTTCGGGTGGAAAGAAAACGAATTTCGAGCTGCAACTTGTGTTCTGGGTAGTTGGGCTCTCATATGCCATGTACACATAAAAACCTTGGCTACGACACCTAGAGGACGTCTAGGACGACCTCTAGGACGACATCAAGATAGATGTCTAGCACGACTTCTAGGACAACAGGACGACCTTAAGGACGACGTTGAGAATGAGGCCTAGAGGACGACGTCGAGAGTGTTGTCCTCTAGGCATGGCGTGCGACTAGGCGTGCGTGGGCGGCCACGTTTCCCAGTGGAAGCCGCCATAGATATAGACACAGTCGCCTCACAGTCCATCGCACAAAGCACAGAACAAGCACAGATGAAGTCCGAAGCACACCTTTTGCACACGGTGCTTTGGCAGTGACATTGTGCTGATGACGTATGATGACATCACACTGATGATGTTTGATGACATATTTTTATAGCCATCTTTCGGGTACAATGCTGCTGCTTGTTTTTCATGTAAAGGCACAAGTCAGGTCATCTTAGAAGTCTAGGACGACTTCTAGGACAAGCTCAAGGACGATGCCAAGGACAGCATCGTCCTTGAGCATACGAGTGAGTGGTGCGTGCTGCTCAACCGCATTTTCACGGCCATTTACTCTGATATTTCACTCAGTGAAACAAGTAAGGCTTTCGCCTTAAACATCATTCTTACATCGATATCTCAAACGGACGGCCTTATTTTTGGAAAAGAAGGGTACGATCAAGCGAATAATGTCATGTCATGATTCTCTTCGAACAGTTCATAATTAGGGGGAGTGGCCTCGCTTCGGTTCACCTGCTCGAGGGGACGAAGTGAAGGGGAAAGGAAATGAGAATCGTTATGTTACGTCTCATCAGCCTCATCGTCCGTGTTCAATCGCACACTTCTTTTCGAAATATACAGCCGTCCTTTAGGGATATCGCTGTATTAGCCATTAATTTTGTGTTTTTCAGCTTCCCGCCTATCACTCCAGCCTTGTTTTGTGAGCTCCAAATTTCGGTTTAGGATCCCTTTAAAGAAAGATGTGAGTTCTTGAGAGAGAGATTTTTTTTTTTTTTTTTTTAGTTCTACAAGGGTTTTTATTATATTCGCCATGCAAGCATGGTTTCTTCCGCAGATTTCAAATATGCAATCAGATTTCAGATAACATGTGCGTCGTCGATCTTGGTACTGGCAATGCATATGTTCTAATGTGGTCTATAGACCTTTTCACCCTCCGCCGCATGGGCGCTGCCATCTTGGAATCACGTGATGCGGCCGCCATTAGGTTGCTTCAACTTGTTGCTCCGCTCTCCCGTCGGCGCCTTGGCGGATGCGTTGAATTCGTGTTTTTCGTCGCCTTTCACGGCGTCTCTTGCCTTACTCCGTAAAGTGTCGTCCGATACTTATACTTATCATGCAATTGCATTACATCATTATGGGCGCAACTTCTGTAGTTGATTTTGTAACACGTTTTGAATATTTTTTACCGTCGGCGTGCGGGATACGTGTGAAAAGGTTTTATAGGAACAGGAATCAGCGTTATCACTTGCGCACATTGAATACATATATGACTTGAAGAGAGCCTCGAGGGTTCAAATACCAATAACTTATGAGAACTGAGGTTCGGTTACTAATAAGGGCAGAACATTTGCAATAGGAAGCCCAATGTTATTATATATATGAGTGCGCATTGGTGTGAAGAAAGAAAACAAAAACACTCAGCGTAATTAGCCACGTGTTTTTCCTGAAAACATGGTGTTTTGGGGTTACAACAGATCGAAAACAGTTTCTTTTGATTACACTAGAGAACTAGTGGACAAGGCGCGGGAAGAAACATTTAGTTTGAATTCGTTTTTACACTAGAAATAATGGTACCTTAACATTAGGCAACTTGTTTGTTCGCAATATCACACCTATATCTGTTTTACGTTCTTAATCGCGTGTGTGATATAAGCATTCGCTTTATCGGTTTGTTTATGAATTCCACGGAATACTAGATCATACTTGATCCCATGTCCATAGTCTTTCAGCTGCTTAAGTCATTTTTTAATATAACCATGCAGTTTCAATTAATTTATTTCTACACAAATATTTGACCTCCCCGCGTAAGAAACTGCCACGGACAGCTTGATAGTGCCTATGATTCATAAAATGTGACGCCGAAAAGAATCCTTCTGCATCAAAATCACCCGAGTGCAGCCGGTTGTCGACTTCGAATAGGGAGTTACTTTCAGTAGATGGCGACGTCAAAATGTGCAAAGCGCATCGTTTCAAATCAGTGAACAGCTTTCTACACGGGTCCATTGGGTGGCGCCTGGCGTTCGACTTCAGCCAAACTTATCGGAGGTCATTTCTTTTGCGCTCTTCAATTTCATTCGGCTAATTTTACGGAAGATGAATATCAGACTTTATTTGAAGTCTGGCATTCACTTATCTTACCATTCTCATACCTTGTAAACGTCGTAAGGAAATGTCCATATAACAAGAAGTTTATTTCATAAGGCCAATATGTTGAAATGCTGTTAATGAGAAATTTAGAAAAGAAATTTTCTAGTCAGCCTAGGCTGGTCTATCAAAATATTTCTCGAGCGCTTAATTTCTTTAAATAAAACAGGCCGAGACAATATCACATTTTTATATTATCTACCTGATTATATGAAACTTTTCTAGTCATTATAAAAGACGTTTCCAGTCTCGAAGTTAGAACGGTTGGTGTACGGAAACCAAACATCGAACAGCAAACTTGTCAGTTCATCTGTTCTTGGTGATTCACCAGATTGTTAATCATGTTGTCGACCTGCTTTTTCACTAAGCACTCATGCAATATAGTATGTTGCAATATAAGAGTATCAGTTCAATACCTGACTTGAGCACGAGCTATCTACTTCCGTACCGCTCGGTGCACGCACAGCCAAAGCACGGCGGCTGGCAACGAGCGCACGCTGCAGGCGGAGCTTGTCCTGCTCTTTATTTTTCTTTCTTCTTGAAATTAGTGTCCGCGGGTACGGCCGTGGACAATGGTACTTTTCCCTGTGCATTAGCGCAGTTGTTTCACCGCCGAACCTGGCCGAAATTAATGATGGACGGAATCAGACGCATATAGTGTTAGTAAAAAATGATCGCAATTTAAGCTCGAAACCACTTCGTGGTTTGCCAAGTGGCTCAATACTATTGTTTCATTCGCTGCGTGCCACTAGAAAGAAATACATATCGCAAAATTAATCGAAAGTGGCATGAAATAGCATCACAATCGCGTGTACGTTGAAACCGAAACCGACCAAATTGAAGCAACCTAATGGCGCCGAGTGCGCCAGCGCCCTCTACCCGCCGGTCAGGCAACTACTGAAATGAAAAGGTCTATAAAAGAAAAAAGCAAAAAATACAATGAAAGGCCTGAGGCTTTCTGTAGAATCATGGCATATTCAGACCATGCCAGGAAACATCAATAGGTCCCTCAGCGCCTTACCACCTGTCTACATAAAGAAGCTACATCATGTGATTAAAAAAAACTGCCACAAAAAAATTAAAAAAAAAAAAAACAAAGATTATTGCATAGTCATTCTTGAAGATGAGACCAGGAGTGTTTGAATGTCCTGAACCAACCCGCTTGAATTTCACATGTGTAAAAGTTTAGGGCGGGGCGAGGTGGGGGGTGGCAGGGGAGCGGTGATCAAGCATCTGTTACACTGACACCCACCCTCTGGAAACACCTTCATCCACCCCTGGATGAGACCAAGTTGGTCTCGAAACCTTGGGACTCTTATGGTGTCCACCAAACCAGACAGACCTCTGTCGAATGCTTATATTCTAGCCTAATGATCAGTAGAATAAAAAGAATGGCAGCTACAACAGCTCACCTTCCTTTCCACTTGCCCATGATGAAGGCTTTAATGTCGTCAACCACTTCTTGAGCCTGGTTTGGAGAAAAGGGTTAACTGTTCGTTAGAAGGTTGGGTAAAAGAAACAAACCTCTTTAGAAATGAAGCATTGCGCAATCTATTAAAAAGTCCAAAAAGTTTTTACCAAACAATTCTCCCTCAAAACACTAAGAAAACGAGCCCTGCTCCCCGAAAGGTTATGTATGAAATATTTGCGCAATTATGTTACGGTGACTTTTTTAGCCAGGACAACCAACTTTTGCAGGCTTCTAAAAAATGCAGTGCACATTTCAATTAAAAAAAAAAAAAAAGAATGATATCTCAGGTATTCCTAGAGTTAGGCCATGCCAGATAATGCCATGATTGAATGCATAATCAATGAACAAGCTAGAAATAAGTCCTACAGTTTTCCATCTGCAGCCATCCAAATACAAATAAACCTATTTCATAAAGATATCAATAGAGATATAAACAAAATACTACTGTAGTAATATGCCATTAAAATCAAATGGGGCAAATAGCATTTTTGCACTATTTCCTACATCATGAATACTCAACTTGCCCAAGCATCCGTTCTAAGAAATGGGGCGGCTTCTGATAACCAATGACCACACTTACAATAACCAATCATAAAGCCTGTTGCGTGGTTTTTCATTTGAGCTTGCAGATTTCTCTGAAGGATGTACGCTGAATGTCGTTCCCAAGTGAAGATAGGACTTTTAGATTTTTAGTAAAACACAATTTTACATGGTACCCCAATATGGTTCTAACAAAACTGAACAAAACTCTTCTTAAAAATTATTTTTAAAAAATTTAAAAAATCTTATTTTTAGAATTACTATTGCATAAGAAAAAGCCACAGTACAAGCAGGTGCTTCTAACTCCTACAGAAGCCACACAATTTCAGTTGAAAACACACAATGAAAAGGACTTACAGCATAGAATACCAATTAGGTACTCAGTTGTGTAAATGCTTTTTACACGCAGCTAAGTGCACACTTTTTTTCTTAAAGGGCAACTCCGTTTCATTTTTGATATTTAGAAAACTATGTAGCCCTCTTCAGTATCATATAGGAAGACCCCATGTCGAAGATTACGATTTAATTCCGTTTATATATTTAATACACTGGCCAGCAAACCTTCAACTAAGCCAAGTCGCCGAAATCTGCCAACTCTAGCGTGCGACGTGAGGCGCAATCAACAGCGCAGTCAATGCGACGAAGTTTGAGCGGCAAACGTTGAGCCACTACGTCAGAGGCATGACTACGTCATTCTCACGTTTTGTTTGTTTTTACTCCTCAGAGCGAAATTGAACGATGACGTCATGAGTTTCTCCTCCCGGTGTTGGCTGACCGGGCGTTCACGTGATCACCGTAACGCGGATGCGCTAGTTTGCGCTGCCCTGCGCGCTTATCGGTCTGTTTCTCCGCTCCCCTTCTCCTCTTTCGGCTTCTCCCCTTCCCCCTCTCCCCCGGGCCATCACCGTCCGCGCCATGCGAAGCGACCTGCTTGCGTCGCGTGTCCTGTCCCTCGCCCCCCTCCCGAACATCACAAGACCACGTGGTTCGACGTGACGTGGCCATGACTCTGACGACCCGAGACCAATGTTGCCTGACGCAACCGAAGTTTTGGTTTCGGTATCTGCTGATGTTTAAATTAGGATTACACAAATAATATTCCACATTTCGCGAATCCGAAGACGTAGAGCTGTTTAGTAGTGCTTTGTGAATTTGAATCACATGTAAGCCTAAATTTTTCGGAATTGAGCGGAGTTGCCCTTTAATAAAGTTTACAACTCAAATTTTGAAAGTGGCAGAGAAAAAATAATAACAATTACAATTAGCATAATTTTAGTTTTAAACATAAAACACTCCTTTCACTGTGCACATCTCGACAAAAAACTTAAGCTCGAAAATGAAGCCAACTCTGTCACGTGTGCGGCATGTGGAGAAATCGTGGAAACAAATGCCAGCCACCGGGCAGATGGCATCTGTTGCCAGATAGACGTCAGACGAGCAACGTCTAACGGCATCCGACATCAGACATCCATCAGACAGAAGTCTGTCTCACAAACGCCCGAAAGATTTTCATCCTACTGACTTTTTGGACGCTTGTCTAAATGCCTACAGTTTGCCTATCAAACGTTTGTTAGAACATTCAACACACATATAAATTTTTTTTTTTTTAATGAGCCAAATTTATGTGAAGGGAAACTGAGATAAACAGGAATCTGTGCTTATCAGTATAGCTTTGAGCCCTGTACAGCGGCCACCTTTACATTGGTCTTTCTCGCATAATATGGCCGATTTTAGATTAAAACCTTTCGAAAATGATGCACCTCCAAAAATACTTTCCAAATTCGGTTAGTTTCGGTTTCTGAATTTGGCTCATTTCGAAAAAAAATAACTGCTCATTCGTTCTTCATACATTTGTTAGACATCCGTCGTACGTGTTTCGTCCGACGACGTCCGTATGACGTTAGTGCCAGCTTGACGACACAAGACAAACGCCTGCTGCAAATCACAGCAGCTCACAGAACACCATAAACATAGCACGAATGTGCACAACACACTAAGGAACGGCGAGAACGAACGCCAGATGCCTGACGTGCATAGATGCCCGTTCGATATCGGTGCCGCCACGACAACGCAACAAGTGCTAGTCACAAATGACAGACGCTTGCAGAGAGCCGCAAACTCGACACAAATGTGTCCAGCATACAAAGGGACGACAAAAACGGAGGAAACGGGACGAAAAAAAAAAAAAAAAAAGCGCTCACCGAGATGCGGACGCACTGGAAGATGTGCATCTCTGCGTGGACCTGCTGGCCCGAGGTGTGGTCGTCCTGGACCACGAAGACCAGGATGTTGTTGTACAGCTCTCGAGGGTCGTCCGACGTGAAGGCCGTCGGGTCGCTGATCAGGCTCATCGGAAACCGCTCCACTATGTCCTGTTCGGAAAGAGACAAGCCGATCACGAGTGGCCAAATTTAGGCTCTTCACGATTGCTTTTTCGATGCATTAGGATCAGCGTGCAAAATAAAAATTGAGATGACATAAACCGTAATTTAAATCGTGATTTAAATTTCGAGCGAATCGAAGCATTGAGCTTTCTTTCTATCATCCCCTTTGTTCGTCTGTCACGTAACCTCCTACTGCAAGTAACTGAGAAAGCAAAAGAAAGAAACTAACACTAGAAAAATTATGTCCCAAAGCAGGAAAATCAAAACACAAGTAAGCAAATAAAGCTTTTTCATTAACTCAAAAATATTAAAGCTGTTTTCATTTTACTATGGCAAGGTTTATTAAAAAAAAAGAAAAAAGTTTTCCATTAAATTGTATTTTATTCTTTCTTACGCATCGTTTTAGTCATCGGAGAGATTGATCAGTCGATCTGCCATGTTTAAAAATATATCTAATGATTAAGAATTACTATTTTATAGCTACTATGATTTGAATCTAATTAATCTGATTTAAACTAAATAAATCTTGATTTACTTATGGTGAATTCCACTCGCAGATCTCGAGCGCTCCAAAACCGCTCGAGCGCGCATATTCCGCTCGCAGATCTGGCTCAAGTTGGTCATCTTCCGCTCGTAGATCTCTGGCAGCGCCCGCTCCATGGAGCGCCCCAAACTCCGCTGAACTTGCTCTGCGGGGTTTCACAGATCTCTCCGGAAGTTGACAGAGCGGCCCACGTGATTTCCGTCTAAATCGGTGGTGCGCATGCGCGGCGAGGTTGGAGAGATCGGCGGGCCGGTCAGGTCGTGGAGTTTGATCTGTTCTGGTGCGTCGGTTGTTTACTCTGGATTGTGACGGCTCCAACGCTTCTACTTTGCGTAGACCAGGGATAAATCGTAAGCAAATCGTAAGCACTGACTCTGTGATCGCGAGAGGAAGAACGAGAAAAGGAATGACAAAAAAGCCGGAGGCAGACGCAAGGTTAGGCCTATTCGTTCTGCAGCCAGTGATTGTTTACCTTTTTGCACTGCATTCCGTCGGCGTTTTCCCGTGAAATAAAGCAAGAAGTGGTTAGGCAACGACCGCGCAAGTGATGGTTTGTTACCTCTGTGTTTATTAAAGTCGTACTACAAATCTGAACTCCACCGCTGGCAATCGCTGTCCCTGCCCCGCCGCTTCGAGGCGGCCGAAAGGTATGTGACGGTGCCGAACGCGGACGTCTTTATTATTTGTGACATGGGCGCCGTGGTACGTATAATTTCGCCCGGTCTGTGTCGCGTGTTACTTCTGCAGCTAAGCAGTGACCGTCGTCACTGGTCGTCGGAAAGATTTGCCGGCTGAGGCGTTGGTGGGATTGTTCGAGCAGCGGCCATTTTGTATGGCGGAGGGAGAATGGGTGGGAAGAGGTGTGGGGGAGGTCGCTCCAAAACTGCAAGTTTATCTTCCCCTCGTCGATTCGGAGCGGGTCCCACGGAGCGGAATTTTGCCTCCCTCACGGATTTTGGAAAGTGCTCCAGATCTACGAGTGGAATTCACCATTAATTTTTTCAAAAAAATTCATGATTTTTCTTTATTTTGATTGCATCAATCCGATGCACAGCGCTTGAAGGAGTATCCAAACATTGAAGGTGCAGCTCATGTTTGTGTAACGTTTCGGGATTGCAGAAACAAAGAAAGCACCACGACGGCAAAACAGGGTATGTATCGGCTTTGTGATGTGTTTGCTCCGTTTTCTTTGTGTTCCGAACCCACAGTGGTAAGGAAGCTGGAACCACGTCGCTTGCAAGACGTATGGAGCATACGTCAGAACAGTCCCACAATTTTCCGCACCGGACACGGTGATATTGCCGCGAGCGCAGCTGACCAAGAAGGCAGCGCGCTCGTGGTCTAACGGTTATCGCGCGCGCTTTCCACGCTGGAAGTCAGGGTTCGATTCTTGGCCGCGGAGGCACATTTTTGTTGACTCTGTAAAGTAATGTTCTGGTTGCTTGTTCGAGGTCAGCATGTTCTACACGCCGAACCTTCTACGCCGATCATTCCAGAAGCCCACACGTGAACATAAGGGGCTCCGCGTGGCGATCAGCATTCAGTCTCGCCCCCAGCGCTCGATCCTGCGGTTTCGCCGACTTCGACGCCCGCGATGCTCTGTTATTATCCTTTGTAACCCTTTTATTTTTGACACAAGTTCACCACATTAAACGTTCATTTCTTTCTGTTTATTTATTGTTTCTTGGTCACCACCCGTGACAATATGTGGGATTGATGAGGAGCCTCGTGGGATTTTCCGGAAAGGTCTGTCGCGGCTCGTGGGTTCCCGGTGAATGCGTCTGCACCTCCCAGCGCGAGATTTGAAGGCGAGAAATAGAAAATAAAAAACGGTGTGTGTTTTGGCAGCCTCGTGTTACCATACTATTGCGGAACTAACCTAATAAAGGCTGTAGCCACCATCAAAGTTTAAAAAAAAATATATGTCTAGTAGCATCGACGAATGGGCTAGTCGGTAGTTCATTTTAACGAGTAACTAACAGCACAGGGACACAGACAGAATAGGAGACAGGCAGAGTAGGAGACGGACAGAGAAGAGGACAGTGCCGTGTTTGTCTTCCGTCTTCTGCTCTGTCTGTGTCCCTGTGCTGTTTATTAATCATTAAAAAAAAAAATAGAAAAGATGCCATGCCCCCTTGTTACTGCAGCCCCCCTGAGGATCTGTCGCTCCTAAGACAAAAAACAAGCAAGAATGATAGTGGAAATAAATTACTGCGTCTAGATAAATGTACAATTTTTTTTAAAAAGTCGACACTGTCATCATGGCTTTATCACACAATGAATTTATACAAAATTGATTTCTGCATTTCGCACTACGAACAATCAAACTTTGGGCAACAGCCTAACGAACAACCGTTTTTTTTTTTAGTTGTGAAAAATAAGAAAATTTAATCTTTTTTTATAAGCTTCCCCGAGTCGGCGTTTTTTTTTTTCCAATATGCACAACAGGTGCAAGGGTGGGACTCACCCCGTTCTCGCAGTCGATGATGATGACCCATTTCCGGTCAAGCTTCATCTTCATCTTCTGCGTCCAGATCCCCTTGGACTTCTCCATCTGGAAGAGCTTGCGGAGTCCATCCTTCGGACTCTCCAGAGCTGTGCAGAAATGCGCGAAAAATTGGACCAAGAGTAAAAAAAAAAACAAAGAGAAACAGCTCTTATTTTGCGTAACACGAAAAAGAGAGACGACATTATTAAAGGTGCTAAGTGAAGCAAACAATGTTGTGATATAAAGACCGAAGAATGTGACTTTTCACAGCTCAGCCAGGTGAGAAAAATGTGTGAGGTAAATCGGGCCGCACGACAGACTCCCACGAAAACTGGTAAAACTGTGCGTGGCCCACGTTGCTTCAGTTAGATTCAATACCTGGATCTCTCAGCCATCTTCTCATGACGAACAAACTCCCAGCTTAACTTCATGAAATTAATAGCAAAAAGGCGATTTCTTTCAGACCCATTACTACAGCGTTGCCACATTTATTTATTTATTCGAACATCAAATTTCCCCGCCAAATTTAGCGAGGAAACTGAATTGGTGTATACACCAACTCATGTTTACAAACAAACCGGAGCGCCCCTAGCGGACGCCACCAGCGCCGCGCATGCGCAGTGGATGGCGGGCAAGAAGGCCGCCGTCGCCCATAAACAAACCATTGAATTGCGTTGTTGTCGGCGTCGGTGGGAGTCCCCGTGCTCTTTTTCGTGTTGGAATTGTTGATTCTACGTCCTCCTAATAATGTCTGACTACTTCAGCGGCTTCAGCAAAACTAACGAGGCAAAACTTTGCGTGAATAATGTGACGTGTAGCGATTCATTTCACGTGGACGCCGCAGAATGGGCGCCAAAGCCTGACTCGCACTTGAGATTCTGCTCGTTTTTTTAGTCGCGACATCGCTCGGACTGCAAAAGCGTGGACCGTAGCTGAGAAGGTGGGCATCGATACTGAAAACCGCAAGTAGAATCAGGCATTACAAGTCGGTGATGGCCACTGATAGCAATGATCAACATCTTCTTGTGTCTGTTTACACTTAGCCTACTTACCCCAACCAACCTTCAAAAGTGATCTGAGGCCTGCACTTTGTTCTTATCGCAATTACCGGGTCAATGTTAGGTTTACAGGCCGCTGTCGATTGAACGAGCTGACGACAAAAAGCAGACGACAGTTCGAACGCATGCGCAATGGAGTATGGGCAAGAAGCACCGCGTCCCGCGTCAACAAACCATTCAAATGTCACGTTGTCGGCGTCTGTTTAGTCTGCATACTCTTTTTCGCATTGGGATTGTCGATTCTACGTCCTCATCGCAATGTCTTACCACTTTAATCGCCTGAGCGAAATTATCAAGGCTCGTTACGCCGCTAAACTTTTCGTAAATAATTTGAAGTGCAGCGATTCATTCGCATGAACGCCGCAGAATGGACGCCAAAACCATGATGAGATTCTTCTAGCTATTTTCAGTTGCGACGTCACTCGTGCTGCAAAAGTGTAGAAGGTAGCGGCGATGATCGACGTCGATACTGAAAATCGGAAGCGGGAACAGACCAAGCGTAACAAGTCATTGATGGCCACCGGTACCAATGATCAACATCTTGTGTCTACTGTTTACACCAAGCCTACTTAAGTCTTTTGAGGCCTGCAATTACTTCTTATTGCAATCACCGAGTCAATGTTTGGTCTATGGGCCGCTTTTGTTTGAACGAGCAGACGACAAAAAGCAGACAAGTTTGAAAGAGCAGACGAAAGTTCAAACGATCAGGCGGCCGTGTGAATTCGAAGACGCACTGAACCCGTCGGTGGTCCGGACAACTTGGCCGTTTTCTCTCGTTCATGTTGGAACAAAGCAAATACATCTGGCGACCACAAAGTGTTGCTCTCACATGCAATCGTAGTTCGACAGCGTCTGGTTTGCCCTTTTCACGGCTACTATCCACGTTCTCAGACGAACGGAGGGGGCAAAAACACATAAACTGATCTCCAAACCTTTCCAGACTCTCTTAGTACAGCCCCCATCGCAGCATTTTGACGAGAAGGCAGATTTTTTGTCTCGTTTCTTTCAAAGGAACACAGCAATGCATGTCTGGCATGGCGGCTCCTGCCCACCGCCCCACACCGGAAGTGCGTCCGGCGCGTCACCACCGCGGCGCGACGTAGGAGAGTTGAGTTTGTGTATAGGTCACGCGACATCAATTTTCGCGATAAATTTAGCGGGAAAACTAAATTGGTTTATAGGTCTCATTACATCAGCTCCTGTGACATCAGTTTCCCCGCCAAATTTGGTGAGGAAACTGAACTGGTGTGCAGGTCACGTGACGTGACGTCATGTGGCATCATGTTTCTTGCAAAATTGAGCGGGAGAACTGAATTAGTGTATAGGTCATGCGACATCAATTTCCCCGCCGACTTAGGCGGAAAACGTAACCGGTGTATGGGTCACGTGAGATCAACTGGCATCACGTGACCCAAATACCAATTCAGCTTCCCCGCCAAATTTAGTGAGACATGCATGGACGGACCAAATATTTGGATTGGGGGGTTTTGTTAAGAAAGATTTCATGCCCTAAAAAACAACACAGACACTAAAAGGTATAACGTTTGAGACCTTTCAGTGTATGTGTCATCTTTTACCTGCAGTCTCAGTGCATACGCCACGTTCAATTTACACCAGCTCGTTTGTACGCTTACAATCAGTTGGACAATTACTCGTTCATATTATTCAGAACAAAACTTTACGCAAAATGCTTTGACAGCAGTTTGTATTCAGGTGTAACCGTAGCAGCCCCCCCCCTAGGACGTTGCTCAGACGGCTTAATGGCACTGCGAATCTGTCGTTTTCGGCGTGTCGGATCTTCGTCAGTCGACGGAAAAGGGCACTCACCGTACTGCTGCCCAACCGAAAACGTGGCGAGGTGCTCGAGCAGATACGAAGGTCCATCTTCACCTCCAAAATCGCTGTGCTGATCTGTTAGGAACCAAGCATCAAACAAGACATCAGAAGTAGAAACGCAACATGACAACTCGGGACAGCACATGACGTAACTAATATTACCCCAACGAATTCACAACTACAACATGTATCTAGCATCTGTATAGACTGTCATCAGTGGCCATTTTACCTTAAGGGTAACTGTCATTTCACAGCATTAACTTGTCTAAGGCTCCTATCCCCCCCCCCCCCCCCCCCTTCCCCTTTTCAACCACATCAAAATCCCCTGAATTTATTTTTAAAAAAATTGTAGTTGTTTTTACACCGATTCTTGACGAAATGCATTAGCATTTAGCCCAGGGGTTCCAACTCGGCGGAGGGTGGGAATTACAACCTCGCATTGATCAGCTGCCATCTTCGAAGAGCCAGTCTGTTCTCCCGGGCGTCGGCACTTTCGGATGCAGCCACTAAAGCTTCCATCGATTGCCGCCTACAGTCCGCTACTGTCGTCTTTGAAGAGCCAATCTTTCCTCCCGGGTGTCGGGAGTTTCGCACAGACGGTGGCGTCGCCACGCCTCGATTTTACGTTATCAGGTACGTCGTGTCACCCCCACAGCCGCTCAATCCCTCCCGTAGTGAGTCACTAAAAGCTCGCCAGAAGACTCTTTCCCTCGTTCCTTCTTGTAAGAGGGAAAGTGGATGTAATGAGCTAACGAACGGAGCGAAAGAGCACGGCTGGAGCAGCGCTTCGGCCTTGCGAAATTTCTCCAGTCCAGTCCAAACCACGATCCAACGCATTCACTTTTGGACTTTCAGAGCAACGTGCACCGAACATCCGTAATATACAACATGAGCGGAACGACATGTGCAAAAGGTGACTGGGCCTCACCCGAGCTGTATCCGTTGGAGTAAGCAGATCTTGAGCTGCGCATGTCGAGGTCAGAACGATGCGGCGGGACGTCCTTGTGCACAGAGTAAGGGTCAAAGTCACTGCAAGCACGGGGAAACGAAGACGCATCACATGTCACAATTCCTGAAATGGGCTTGTGCGAGACAAACCGAACACTAGGGAACACGACTAAAACTGAGATCTGCACCCTACCGCATATGTGTTTTTACGTGACAAGTCGACAGGTGTTACGAGGAAAATAAGACGTTGCAAAAAAGACACGGGTACAAGTAAACGGAATACACAGATGCGACACCGTGTATTCCTTCTACAAATCCCCGCATCATTTTTGGGCCATTTCATTTTCCCTGTACCGAAGCCTCTAAGCAATGCGTTGCCATATAATGTTCCAATTAACAGTCTAAATGTTCGCATGATAACGGCAGCAACGATTTAGCACCTGTTTGGTCACAGTCACTTGCGCACGGTGTTCTTTGCTGCACAGTTCTTTCTCTATTCGTTTTGATTCCTAAGGTGTCGAGAAAATAGCAGTTTTACCCTATTTATGTGGGCACCCTTAACCAGAGTTCAGTGTGACTAAGGTCAGACACAGCCGCAAGTGCCCGACAGGCATCATAAACTGCAGTTACCATCAAGTATCGTTAGCAGTTTCTATCAACTATTCCCTGGTTACCAAGGCCCCTTTAACTGCAGTTCAGTCTGACCTTGGTCACACTTAAAGGGACACTGACAGGGTATTTATGCTCGCCAAGGTTTTTATTTATACATGACCTACGAGTGCCTAACTACCCAGAGCACAAATTGCAGCTTAAGATTTGTTTTCCTTCTGCCCGAAAACCGCCAATCGAGAACTGGCCAATTTGAGTCGCACTCACTCTCTTCTTCGTGGTCATGTGCAGTTTTCCATGGTTTAGACAGAACCACCAAGTATAATCAAAATCGTGGGTCATCGATGGCACACACTCAGTGTTAAAAATAAAAAAGAAATATGGTACCCAATTTTTGTGGCTTCTAAGAAGTAACAAATCCATTGATTGAAGATTAAAAAAAAGTTGCACGGCCACGCGACTTCTGCCATCTCCTCTATATTTCTTCTTCCTCCCCAGTCCAGTTTTGGTTTCCAGCGGTTGCATTTTTTTAGTTTATAGAAAATATATGTGATGCTGTAGCAAAATATTGATTGGGTAGTTTTCTAACACCATAATGAATTGCTTAGCAAAAAAATAAAACCAATTTCAGGGGGTGTCAGTGTCCCTTTAACTATGGTTAAGAGCACCCATGCAATCAGGGTACCACGCACAAGTAGTCAAGCAGAAATCAACTCAACATTTCAGCCGGAAAGTCTCTCTTGAACAAAGACGAGAAGAGTAGACGAACAATAAACACAGGAATTGCTACCAACAGACTACAACTGCAATACTTTAGTTCCACACCCGACACAAGGAAACGCTCCCATAAGGAACATTTTGATCCCGTCTGCCAAGTTTGATTCCAGTTTCTCTGCAGGTTCCTCATGTCTGAAACGGCTTATGCACAGAGCGCGACGATCCGGTCGGTACAAACGAGCGATCTGGAGTTATTTTTCCTACCTTCCTATACCAACCCAAGTGCTGCCATCGAAGCCACGCGCATTCACGGTCAAACATGCTCATTCATCCTGGTTACTAATCTAGGCACTAAGTCAAGTCTTTGGCTATACCCTACCTCAGCAAACGATAAAAAAGCGCCAATGGTGTGCTCACGTTAACGGTCACGCCATGTAAACTGTTTGCACTGTTAGTGCAAACATGCCTGTTCCAGTTTTTGCTGTTTTTATCTTAAAACTGAACAACCGTCGTTACTATTACTACTGTGGCAGAACGCCCTCATTCAGAACCGTAACCGGTGATTTCCCTACACACCCCCCGTCGCTTTTCTGAAGGCACCCCCTTAATTCGCAATGACTCCTCTATTCTCAATCCCCCCTAAAAATTTTGACACACCCCTTAATTTCAATTCCTGGGGCAACCCCTGGCCGTAACATAAGCGGTAAAGCTTGGTGCCAATCGACACTTTGTCTAGGAAAAGAGCCGACGTCATGTCCGCGCCAACTGTTGTGCAACGCCGGACAAAAGCCAATGAATCCGTAGGAGCGCGTGGTCTTGGAACTATGAGGGTAAACTGGCGAGGTTGGCGCCTCTCACAATCCAGCTATTCAACCAGCATTCTTGGCAATGCTGTGCTACTACAATGAGAGTCAAATCTGTCAGGTGGAGCTCCTAAGTACAGTATTTCCCAATGTATAAGTCCCATATTTTTTATATATATTTTTTGTGCATTTTATGCAATGGTGTCACTTGTATGTATTTTCTTTTCTATTTGGATAGAATTTCCTGTTCAATTCATGGACAAAAATATTGAAACTTGCTCTCGCCTGAGCAGATATTGCGATCGTAATACACATATACGAGCTTTTCAATGCAGTTTCGCCGACGGTAGAAATATACAGATACGATTTCTACACAAACATTTTTTATGATAACAGCCTTTTATAGGAAACATCATTATAAGGAACACCCCTTTATAGGGACTCATAGAAAAGTGCAACTTATAGACAGGAAAATACGGTACTCTAAACTCTCTATGTTCGGTCAGCTGAGTGCATGCTGTTGTAAGGTGTGTAGTAAAGTGCATAATCAGACTAAATAGTAAATTAAACGGCGCAAAAGGGGACACAAAAACAAGTAGAAGACTTGTGTTCTTTTTTAAGCTGTTTTATTTATTCTGAGTGCACATCGTTCAAAGCATTGCTCAAACGCTAACAGTGCGATCAAGAATGGGAAGGTTCAGTAGCCGGCTGCCGATAACCCCTAATCTTGCAACTGGCTGATGCTCGGTGTGAATGGCTCCTCTCGTACCCGCGACGACGTGTGCGCTCAGTCAGAGGTCACACATTCTTGCGACTTCGCCGGCTTTGTCCGACACTGTACCCTCAAAGACTGACTTACGCATTTGCGTGAGAGTGTCATCGACTGCATTGCAAATGCTAGTAACCACTTGTGTGTGATCAAGACTGGAACAATCTATAAAATAGCCCTGGAACCTGTCCGAACTGTGCTTCACTAGACAAAAGTACTTGCAGTATTTGCGAGAAGAAATCTATGCATTACCTAAAAGAAACAGTTGCTTAATAAAGTCAGTAATTTCATTCTAAACATGGCCATCTAAAAAAGATAAGTGAACCCTAAGAGACAATTACAGCTTCAATGCTAAAACTGCATCTCAGAACCTCAGAAGGCTAGGCGGAGCGTTTCCGCTCATACACGACACACCCGGGGCTGGGCCTAGGTCTCGAGATACCGCGCACGCAAGAACACTGGGAGATATACCGCATGCGCGAGATTACAGCGGCACAAGAAAGCGGGGAAGGAAGCGAGGGCGTGCCTGTTCATGGAATATCCGTCCTCCCAGCTGTCCAGTTTCATCACCCCCGGCATGGCTGCCATTCAACAAGCATCTGCGTCAAAGAAGAGACAGGAGTCGCATTGGAGAAGCATCAGTCACTTGCCTTTTGCCGCAACTCCTACGACCAACCGCCGGGACCGCAACGTCCGACAGCACAACGTTCCGGCTTCCGTGATGTCATTCGTTGCCACTTTGGGACCACTTTCAAAGCACAAGTGTGATAGGACACTAAACACACCGGTCGGAGAAGCGCTCCGAGCGCCCTAGTCAAGATGAGCGCGCCGTTAGTGCGTCCAAGACATGAGTCGCCAGGGACACGTTTCGTCACGAGCAGTCAATGCAAGATGAGCGTTGCCCGCACACCTACCGTATATCCCGAAGTAACCCACCTCCTATTTTTTGCACGATTTGCTATATATATATTTTTTTTTAAACACTGAAAAATAGCTTACTTCTAGTAATTCCAGGGCACTGACCAATGGTGACCTCAGAGTAAAAGGTGCTACTTAGCCGCAACGGGAGATAAGCGAACACTGCTGACTGGGAAGGGCAGTCGTCTGGTTCGTTGCCCTCCCTGCAATCTGAAACTTGCATTTCTTCAACTTTTTTTTTTTTTTCTATCATACACCGAAAGGTAACCTACCCCTTATTTGCACCCGATTTGCATTTATTTTTGGGTGGGCTATCTCTCAGGATATTGCGGTATAGTCGAGGATGGGTTCAGAATTCGGTAGATGGTCCGCCTCTAGTGCAGGCTTTTCGTGACACTTCATTGCATACAAAACCAAAGCCCAGCAGAAGGAAACGAGCACATGCTAGAGGTGGGTCTTCTACTGCATTCTTGGCCCGTCATCAACTAGAGAAGGCATTCGGTAAAAACTGTCTCTCAAGTGCGTTGAGAACCTATCAGCAATGGGATGCCTCCCCCGCTTGCCCACGCCCCCTTTTCCAATGTGATTATGACAGTCATCATAACGTGCACACATACTCCCAACGTGTACCCCAATATGGCCACAGAAAACGCAACATCACGGAACAAAGTTGTGTTTGGTCTCGCGTCGTCATTCTGGCAGATTTCTTTCCCGTCTCGGGTTCTTTAACCGTGCACGACACACACTGGCTTCCCTTTACACCCACCGTTGTTCTAAACTTTTGAGTATGACAAAGTGACACTGAAGATAAGAAATTTGTACTCAATCCAAAGGAACTAAAAGTTTTTTTTTTCAGTGCTCATGAGTTGTAAAGGAAGCACCCAAGCGAGCAAAAACCTACGTAAGAGGAAGAGGCTCCCCCGTCTCCTTCAAAAACGAACCGACGTAAAGTTTGACCGACGCACGACCTCGGGCCGTAAACACTTTCAGAACTCGATTTGTCTAAGCAAACGAGGTCACGCAGCTACGTGCAACTAGCCCACAGCCTTTGTCTCGTATGCTAAAAGCTCGTAACTTTATGTCAACATTCTACAGAAAGAGAAAGTTCTTCTGAAGGCACATGCCGAGACAAGGAAAAGAAGCCGTAAATGCCGAACCTAGGGACGCAAACTCGACACAGCTCATCAGAAGCCACGCACACATCTGGGTTAAGTTGTGGAAACAAGGTTCCACTTCTCTGCCGTCTGAGGAAGAACCTACACATGCTGACATGCTTTTCCTGTCCCTAGTCTTAAACAACAAAATGATGAACCGTCGGCGTACTATCTTGGGTGCTCTGTCAATACCATAAGAGGATCCGCGGTCCTCCGTGGAGACGGACAGGTTTGCGAACGAAGACAGCACACGTTTCGCCAAGGGCTACACTAGAGCGCTTAGTGATGGATTCCGAGTCGCTACGTTGACACTGGGCGGAGAGTACGTTGACACAACTCAACAGACGCAAAAGCGGGGCTTCGGCACCTCCCAATGTTCAAATGACCGCGAGCACCATTCCAGGTTACCTTCGCATAGATATGCCAGCTCAATGGGTTGGGCACTATAAAAACTCTTCGTTGCTTATCGCAGCTCCCAAGAGGGTACCGACTGCTTCGCAATCAAAACAAGCCGGAAGGCGACGGGTCGTTATCGAATGCTATCCCTCTTTGACCGCAATCTTTAGGGGAATGCGACCTGTATCGACCAACCTAATCACAAGTCTCCGCTGGACTTTGCGATAAGAATTACACTGCTGGCAGGAGTGATGTGGACTCAAGGGTGAGACATATAACGGAATTCAGCGAAGAACGGCGATAAGGCTGGTCTCCTCCTACATGTGCAGTTATCCGAAGAGCAGTCATGTAGAAATCATAAGTCGTATCGAACCTTATCTCTCGCACCCCGTGTAAAAATAAATGCGAGGATGGGTATCCGGAGGCTGTGATAAGACTCCCACGCAATCTTTCTGGGAGACCTTTCTGGCGACCCCTCTCGGCAATTTTTGTTATCAGCGAGGGATAAGAAGTTTCCCCTGCCTCTACAAACACGAAACTCTTATGTGCCAAGTTCCGTCGGCCATCGAGAGAGTTACCCAGACCGCATTCCTACACCGACCCTCTTATTTTCTTCATAAAAAGGCACGGCAACGCAACCGCGAACTCCCCCCCCCCCCCCTTTCCCCCCTTCTCCATCCTCGTCAAAAAGAGCTACCTATCGTCCGCTAAACGCATGTCACTGGACGACATAACGGATATCCGCTGGGGCCCTCCCTACCTGCCCCACATATCACTCTCCGAAAAAAGAAAATAATAATAATGATAAAAAACAGGCAGTTACTCCAAACAAAGTACAAAAGAAAAACGCGCAAAAAGCATAAACGGAAACGATTTGACCGGCTCGTTAGATCGAAAGTTAGTTGGCGGCTGCCGTTGTTTTGTTTTTTTAGAAGACAAACAAGAAAATTGAAGGAACGCACCCAACGTTTGCTGAGAAGACCTCCCGTGCAAACCGTGCAAACAAGCAAACCGAACTGAGATACCTCTTTTTGTGCTGTTTTTGTTGTCTTTAGAGCGCCGTTGTGACGACGAACGCAGTTTGCGAGTGCACGAAAAAGTTGAGGGGGGACTGCATCGTGTGGGCAAGCTTCGAGAAAGATCGCGACCACCCCCACCCGCTACGGAGGAAGAAAAAAAGGATCAAAAATAAAACGTAACGAGCCACCCTCGCGAAGGCGATCCCACCAAACAAGGCTGGCTTGTGTGGGTGCATGGCTCGCGCTGGATGATCCCGTTTTTTTCTGTTTTGTTTCTTCCCCGCGACGAGCCAACGAAGTCCACTTTCACCTTTCCTGCGTCGATTACGAAGCTCGAAAAACGGTTCGTGTGCCGACGATCCGAAGGTTCGAACCGGACTCGAGCAAGACGCAGTACCGAGGGAGGTCACGGAGGTCCGAAGTTCCCCCGACCCAAACTCGAACGTTACACCGAAACATTCGTAGTTTCAGAAACCAATTAAGCTCTCCCGTGTCTCTCTCGTTACAGCTGGGCATAGTAACGCCTACAGAGCGAGGTTAATGAGGGGGGTACATAGAAATAAAAAAGGGCACACATACCTGTGGCATGCGAATTCCTTCTCACGATGATAACACACAATGCAGGTTCCTGCCGCCGTTCGAGGATACGCCGATCATCGGAACAGTTCTTGGAAGCGAAACGGCACGACGTGTTGCGACAGCTCGAAGAGTGACAGTCTTGCCAACGTCGATATCGAAGGACGCGAAAATATGCGAGCCAAAAACTCGAGGAAGGATGGGTGGGTAGGCGCCAGCGGTGGCGAACGAGGCGACCCAGCGAAGATCTAGGAGAAAACACCTGTAGGGGGGAGTTCGGTGACGTGCCTTTACAAGATGTCGACGACGCAGAGGAATCCCTTGCGCTGTGTCCACACCGATTCGGCGATCCGCTAACGCGACCAATGTCGGCGGTGATTACGCATTTGCCGTACGCATTTCGACGGACATCGTCGCTGCGAAAACATCGGTATGCAGGTACAGGTGAACAGACGCACGCACGCACGGAACACAAAAAACAGGACACAAAAAAACGGCTAGAGGTCTCCTGACGGAAGTTACGGAACGGCCATCACGTTCCCAATGTTGCCAGACTGGCTCGGGGCGCCCGCGCGTCCCCGCCGAAAGCGGCCGCCAAGCGCGCTCGCTGACCTCAATACTCTTCCAAATCTGGAACTGCGGCTGTAAGGAGCAGAAAAGAAAGGAAAAGATCGGTGCCGGATTCATTATTTATCGTCTGCTCGTTTTGTGTGTGTGTGTTCATCGTGTGTAATTACATACACGTAACGCCTGCCTGGGTACAAACAAATCAAGTCTGAGCGCGGCTTTCCAAGAAATCTAACTACAGACGAGGAAGGATATACTTGTATATTCAATGATATCGCACGCTGCTTGACTAATATGCTTCGCATAAAAGATGAACGTGATGCCAGCCTTCAGACAAATCGCCCCTTAGTGTAGCGCGCTTCGCTTATTGTCAAAGAGACAAACGTGCCACGGATGCTAGCTGCTAATGATGAAACTCCGAACGTCCCCCATTGTCTCATCATCGTAGTCAAGGCCGACTTTCTTCACAGACATACATGCGGAACCTGTCAGAAGGCTATATTGTTGCCGGCATCTAAAAACGTTATTGTTTCGCACGCACATCGTGCCAGCTCGCTTGTTTTGTTGAAGAAGCGTTTCGATGAAGGCTTGGAAAGCGTCAAGGTTCATGGTGAACAAAAAGCGCTCTTTTGATGTGATAATTTTTTCTAGACATCGAATCAGACGCGTATATTATTATAATATAAATCTCAATTTGTTTTGCACTGGCAACGCACCAAGAAATGTCGTCTGCTAGAACGAAAGCCGAGCGCAAATTCGTCTTCTTGCGCAGGGGTTGCGTTGATGTCAGAAAGTCAAGCTCTCATTGGCTGATTGAAAAAAAAAAAAAAAAATACTGGGCAGGCTCTGAAGCATTCAGCATTGAGATCTACCCACTATCCTTTCAACCAGAGCCAATCAGGGCTCGGCGTTGTTCTGACGTCACCGCAACTCTTGCGCTTGAAGCAGACGACTTGCTCTCCGGATGCTATCGCCGTCGTATCATTATCAACGAAAACCAACAGAAACCACTCAGCAAAGGGTCAATGAAATCTCAGCGTGCTAAAAAAAAATGACCTTTTAACTTTTTTTTTCTTTTATTAACTTTGAAGTTCGGGCGAACATTAGTGATGTCAAAAGAAGCCGCGGCATGTCAATTTGCTTCGTTGCTGAGGCAGTTCTGCCGGTGTTCGGGCGGGAACGGTCTTTTTTGTTGTGCTGGCAAAAGAACAAGAAAAAAAGAAGGGCGTTAGTTACTTAGCAGAGGAATGAACCCTGACCGCCATGACAGTTTCAGCGAACAGAGGGTGTTGCTCAGAATTCAGAACGCCACGCCAAAGTTTCCTGACAGGTTAACGCACTGGGGTAACCGAGGATTGCGTTGTTGGTTTGTAATCCGTGATGTCACCAAATGAGGGAGACTCATGCACGGCCGGGTGATTCCCCTTTTAAAAATTTCAATTACAAAACTTAAAAAAAAAAAAAAGCGCAAACGTTCTTGTTACAACCCTGACTTCCGTTTAGCCGTTACGCCATTCTCTAGAACGTGTGCCGAGCCTGGATAAGTAGACGGGCCCGTGGATCGGTGAATGTGGCACAAAAGTGTCTGCCACGGCAAGAATGTCGTCGGCTGCTGCTGCAAAAATGCCGTCTGCCACTCAGGATAAATCAGTACGTAGCTTTATTTTTCTTTTGTTTTCATTTCTTTATTTCTCGCCTTCCCTGACTTTCTTTGTGTGTGTGTATGTGTGTGTCCGTGAGCGCGCGCGTGCGAGAAAGAAAAAAAATAACAATAAAAGAAGTTGCGTGCCACATACCCCTAATATTATTCTCGCCAGAAAAAAAAAATATTTTGACGAAAGAATAAATTAAACTAATTGAAAGTGTTTTTCCAAGGTCGAATAATTCTTTTCGATAGGTTCCCGATCGCAAGAAAAACTAAACTGTTTCTCAACCTCTCCTATTTTATTTTTTTATGACCCGCTGAAGCAAAGTGGGGAAACGTGACGTCACAAAATAAAAACGTCTAAAAAATAACTAAAGGCGGATTGAAAGAAAAATAAAATGGACACGACGGAGCCGCTGTTGGCACGAAAAAAGAAGCCCCCCCCCCCCCCCCCCCAAAAAAAAAAAACCTCACTGGCGAAAAAAGTAAAATAAATGGACCTTCTCTAACAAAAGGAAAGGCGCCAAATGCCCGAAAGCAAGAGAGACGATAAACGTGGCGTGCGAAGCGAGCGTGAGCACAATCAACAAGCAGAAGACAAGAAAAATCACAGCAGGAACGACGAACAGAGCGGTCTGTTTATCGGCAATACATCCATTGATTTGTGCCACTTTAAAACGCCACGGTCGTTGCAGGAACCCTGCCCACCAACCACCACAAGGCACGGTGCCTGTGAAACGAACGCTAAAGTGTTTCGTTCTCTACGGTTGAAAACAATGGGCAGTTTGAGACCTTCGGCCTAATGACTTCGGCGTGGTCTAATTCCCCTCACTCAATAAGGGGCAATTTTTATGAGCGCGGAAGGTTTTCTGCCTGCGAGACAAGACGCGTGCCCTTTAGAAACGAAACCAACAAATAAAAAACCCACGACTGTGCGTAAACAAAAAGGACCGGAAACCTAAGGCTCTATCTCAACTCGACAGGTTTCCTAACGTCCGTCGTGGAAATCGGTAGATGTCATCAACTTCCCCTGAAACATCACGTTCTAAACAGCTAACCCCAACTTTTCAGTTACCAAAAAATGACGGCTGTTTACAACCTAAACGCGCCGGCGCTCTGCGATGATACACGCCACTTCCTCATGGCGTTCCTCTATAACCTCTTTGTGGAGTTCAGTCAGTACGATTTCGTTCCAAAACAACTTTCGAATGTCGCCTGCTACGCTTCATCTACTACGCGTCGTCTTCATATCTCCTGGTAGACGTGCGGGCGTCTGCTACGCATCGCTTGCTACGGGTCGTCTGCTACGGGTCGTCTGCAACGCGACGGCCGCGTAGCCGCTAGGGCCGCCTTGTTTTCTCGCGGAATAAACTGACGGAAAACACAACCAACAAAAATAAAAAGAAAGAAAACCGAAGATAAAATATTTTAGGGGAAAATTTACGAAGGCGAATCTTCCCCGTTTGGTATCCACGGCTAAACCGATCACGCATAGTAAATGCCGTATAACCGTTTGTTGTTGTTGTTTTTTTGTGTTTTTTTTGTGTGTGATATGTTTGGCCGGGTACAGCAAGCGCACAAAGACGACGAGCGCTCTGACAATGGACCTTTACTGACTTTTTTTATGATCTAAGAGGGAGTGGGGTGGGGGAGGGGGGGGGGGGGTGCATGGTGTGGTCAAAGGTGACTTTGACCACACCATGCAACTTGACACAACATTCTTCAAGTGAATAAATATCCACATAGAACATGTGTATAAATAACGGTACTCGAAAAGAGATCAGTAACTAGGAACACATTTGATGACAATGCACGCGTTACTGAGATTTTACCTTCCGATTAAACAGAAAATGGCGCTGCTCGATAACTCGTTTTCTGGCAGAGCATATCGTGTTTCGCGGGCGAATGCTCAATGAAACAGACGGCTTCTTGGACTCTCTCGTCTACCTTTCCCATGACGGAAGATCTTCCATTCAGGGCACGTAACCGGCGCCCCTGACCGCGAGGCTATGACACCCCTCTTTGAGCGTGTAGGCACGCTTCGTGGCCGAGGGGCCTCCCATTTCGCCTCGGGCTGACCCCCTTTTTTTCATTTTTTTTTTCGTTACTTAGCTCTGCTTCGCCATTGTTGTGGCTTGTTCTTGTTAAACGTGTAGCTGCACGCACGTAGACAAGTACACGAAACAGCCGCGCCGGCGCACGAGCACGTGCACGGGTAAACTAATGAATGCCCCCCTTCATCACAAACATAGAATAAGAAGCGAATGCTTTACTACACTTATTCATCTCAAGAACAATAGCTGAAACAAGTCCGGTTCCTCGCGGAGCATTACTAGTTAAAACTTTTTTGTGAAGAAGTACGATATACAGATATATGTAAATGCATTTTAGATAAGCTACATTCAAAACTATCAAAGCATACACGTTTCAAACACTAAAAACCATCGTTTCTTCCACCGGCAACAGAATCCTGTAGGAACTACTTCGCGCTGCGTATGTAAGTCTTCCCCAATCGGCGTGGACAAACCAAGTCCGAGAGAACGCATACGCGCGTTCTCTCGGACCGAGGGAGAGGGTATACCGCCGACACAACGAGATACCGGAATTGTCGAGACAGCAGAGACGGCTGTCTTCGCTGTGTCGAATAGATCACTGCAGTCTGTCTTCATTACGTCGAGCTCAATGTGCCATGCCCAACTTCGTTATGGTTATCAAGGAAAGATTCATTATGCGGCACTTCACGATTGAGATCAACGATGAAGACATTTTCTTCTTCTTTGGTGTTTACAGCGCGGAGGAGTACCGTCTGTGGCGCTGCTGCGGGCATATCGATCATATCGATGCTAAAGCTCCGTGCTAAACAGCCTTGCCATTTTCTCCCGCTGGACGAAGCGAGCGATTGTCACACCTCCCTTCGTAGCCCACCATATAGTAGGTATATTTACTGGACGCCACATCTGCGTCCGCTTGCTCAGAACGAGCTCGCACTTATGGGCTGCAAAGGCCGGCAGTCTTGGTGTGGAAAGCTCGCCTTGTGGGAGCTCTGTCAGCTTGCGTTCAAGAACCGCGGACTCAGTTATGACCCCAGTGAATACCATAGACCTTTCCGAAAAAGAGCGTGTGGTCGGTGCCATTTTGAGTGTTCGTGCGTATGGCGCGTGCTTTGCTCGCTTTCCGAAGCGACGAACACGCACGTACGTGCTGGGCTGTGAAGATCGCACGCGGGACTGTGATTTTGTAAATTGGAAAGGTTTATATGGAGTGTTCACTGGCAGCCATAGTTGTGTGCGCGACTGCTGAGCGCGCGCTGGAGGCGAGCTTCCACATTTCTTTTGCAACATGCATTT